CGCGCCCCGGGCCCCGCCTCCCGCCCCGGCCCCGCCCCACCCCGGCCCCGGCCCCGCCCAGGTCCCGGCTCCCCGCCCCGCCCCAGGCTCCGGCCCCCCGCCGCCAGTCCCCGTCCCCTCTCCGCCTCCAGGTCTGGCGCGCCCCAGGCCCCTCACCAGGCAGGTCCACAGGAAGTGGCGGGCGCTGAGGCCCGTCTCCCAGGCCAGCGTGCAGAAGAGGGTGTGCTGAAGCCGCCAGCGGAGCAGCACCGCACAGCGGTACAGGGCGAACTTGGCCTGCTGCGGGGACAGCCACGGGAGGGGTCACCTGCCGCCCGGGGGGTCTGGGCTGGACGCGTGTCTCCCCCAGACCTCGAGTTTCACGTGGGTCTGGGGCCCGACGCCACCCTCTCCCGCTGTACTCTGAGCCCATCCCCAGCCTCTGGGGCCGCCCCCGCCCCTCCTCCGCGCCGGCCCCTGGCGGGGCCCAGGGCGCTTCTCACATTCGTTTTGGAAGCGGCCGCCGGATGCCTCTCTTCCCGCGGCCAGGAGCGCCCCGGGCGGCCGCGCTGTGTCTCCTTGGCCTCGGCATGGGGCACGGCTGGCACACGGGAAAGCCTGACCGTTGTACCGAGGTCAGTGAACGACCCGAGCCCCCACCGCGTGTCAGGGGCTGGAGACTCAGCAGGGACTGCAGCAGGCCGGGTCCTGTCCACGCAGCGGGCGCAGCTGCACGGACGCCCGTGTGCGCGCGGGCGGACCTCAGTCACGCACCCGAGAGCGCGGCCGCCCCCACCGCCTCCTGCAGACGCTCAGCCCTGCCCAGGGGAAGCCGGTCAGCAGGTACTGACCGTGACGACAGCCGGACAGCGGTCCTTCAGGCGCAGGAGCAGGGGCACCATGCTCTGGTGCACCTGGGTCCGCAGGCCGCTTAGCTCCCTGCCCGCCATGGCGGCCACCAGGTCCCCGAACAGCGCCATGGCCGCCGCCCGGATCGCGTCCCGATCCTGCAAGGTGTGGGCTCAGAGCCACGGCCAAAGCTGCCTGGGGCCTCCACCCTGTGGCCCCTCGGCCTGCACGTCCCTCTGCACGTCCCTCTCGTTGGGCTCTGGGGCCCCTGGGCAGGGCCGTTCCACCCCCCCTCCACCCCGGACAGGTCCCCTCGTGGGTCTCAGTTCCTCCAGCAGAACCTTACAATCTCTCCCTGACCACCCAAGGGTCACCAAAGCGGCGTGTGGGGAGGCGGGGCTTATCCCCTCTAGTTCCCCAGTGATGGGAGACAGTCACTGCAGCACGAGGGTCCCTTCTGGAAGAAGGGTAAGGGGCAGCCGCGGGGCTGGAGGTGGTGAAGGGCGATGCTCTGCCACCTTCGTGGAGAAGGGGCCGAGTGCCCCCTGGCGGCCAGAGAGCCCAGAGCTGCCCAGGCCCCCCACCCCCACCCCCCGGGGTCTCCTCTCCCCAGCCCCCAGGCCAGCCGGCAGAAGGGCAGTCGGGGTCCCCTTGCCTTTGAGGACCAGGGGCCGGCACAGGAGGGGGGCATAAGCAGGGAATGTGCCTGCCCCGCCCGGGCACACTCACGTCATCGAAAAAGGAGCGGGCGTTGAAGGCGACCCGGAGGCTTTGGGCGACCGCGCCGTTTGTGCCCAGGCTGTGCAGCACATCCGACACGGTGCCCATGACTTGCACAACCACCTGCTCGCTGCTGTGGAAGAAGCCGTCGAGAAAGGCCGGCAGCTGTCCGCAGAGCAGGCTTCCCTGGGGGGATGCGGGCCGGTGGGCGGAGGGTAACCAGGACGGGGGGCTCCTGCGCCCCACCCCAGCCCTGCGGGTTGGACCCGAATCACCTCAGGCCCTCCCTCCGCTGCCCCTCCCCAGCCCCCAGCCCGGCCTGGGGGGCGGCACTGGCCCTGCACGTCTGCCCGGCGTTGTGCGCCTAAATCCACTGGGATCCGGCCCTGGGCTGCCCTCCAGGAGCCATGTGGTCACGGACAGGGCTTCGCTCTGAGGGGGTCCTCCTGGGGCGCAGGGGTATTAACCCCGTGCCAGGTGGCTCCCAGCTCCTTCTTTCTCCTGTCGCCATGCTGGCTAGAAGCCTCCCCACCCCCCCAAGTCTTGGAAACCACGCTTCCCTTCCCCCGCCTCACTGGCCTTTAGCCCGGTTCCCGGCCTCCCCCGGGTCAGCCAGGAGGGGCCTGGGCCTGGAGGAGACAGGGTGGGTCAGCTGCACACAGACTGAGGTCACGGTTCTCCACGTCACAGGGGACTCGGGTGCCCGGGAGGGTCCCAGACCCTCTACATTACGACGACCACTTCCCGCTTGCACACTACTTTAAACAAGACTCAGTTCATTCGCAGCCAGTTCTGTCTGTGCCTCTTGTTAGCCTGGTGCTCGTGAATGTCCAGGTGAACGGCTGGAGAGCAGCGTGTCGGCAAGTGGATGTGTCCTGCCCTCCGGCCCCTCACCAGTGACTGTGAGAGCCAGGGTGATTGTTACAACTTTAGGACAAGTTTTCGGCCGCTTCACTGGCTTCCTGAGCTCCGTTTGGTTTTATTGTACTAACTTTTCAGCAAATGACTCCTTTAACAGTAACAAACCCTTTCTGCACACCTACAGGGTACAGGCAGGATGCTGGGACGGGACTCGGGTGCTGGGAGTGAACAGCAGAAAGGGGTTCTATGGGAAGGACCAGAAAAATAAAGCATGCACAACACAGTGAGTGTAAGGGGGTGAAGAGCATTATGAAAGAAGATAAAGCAGGGCAGGGGGTGGAGCAGGCCGTGGAGGAGGCCATGGCTGTTAGAAAAGTTTAAGTAGGATCAGAGAAGGTGTCACTGAGAAGGTGAAAACTGAGGAAATCCTTACAGACGTGCTGGGAATGCATTCTAGCATAGGGAGCATGTGCAAAGGTCCTGAGGCAGGAGCATGCCTACCTGTTTGTGAGCAGAGGAGAGACTGATTCACAACCTCACAGGAGGCTGCTGGCTGCTGGGTGAGTCTACACTGGAAAGGAGAAGGGGCAGCCGTTGGGACGGGGGTGTGTGCAGTGGCCTGGGGGAGATGCTGGGGGCTTCAGTGAGGGAGGCATTAGAGCGGGAGAACAGGTGGATTCTGCGCTTGCTTGGGATTTCTTGATTGCCTGGACAGCCCCCAGTTTGGGGTCCCTGTCAGCTGAGATGCAGGTTGCAGGAGATGCCTGTTTGTGGGGGTGACAGAGTTTGCTGTGGGCATGTGGAGTTTGAGACTCCAGCTGGGATCCGAGCGGCGAGTCAGGGCTGGAGCTCAGGTCTGGGGCTGGGCTATGGATCTGGGGGCAGTCGGCCGGTAGATGGCACTTAAAGATTGGAGGGGGCCCGCAAGGGAGCGGCGAAGGCGGGTTGGGGGGGGATGGGAAACAGTCCTGGGGCGCCATCCGGTGCCAGGCCAGGGCAGGAGGAGACGCCAGGGAAGGGGCCACCCAAGACGTGGGAGGGAAACCAAGCAAGCAAGGCATCCTGGGCCACGTGGATGGAAAAGCCACTTGGCCCGTGTGCTGAGGGGCCCAGTGAGGAGTCCCCCCGCGGGAGGTCACAGGGCACCTGCACATGAGTGCCTGCAGGCTGGCAGCGGGGGGGGGGGTGCCGCCTGGAGGGCTCCCCACCTTCCTCCACGGCAGCTGGATGTGTCATTCAGATTGTGTTCCTGGTGCCTTTGCGCCACCTCCAGCAAGCACACAGGGGCCCTGCCACAGCTGGCCGCGTGGTGCCCAGAGGAGATGGGCGCCCCCTCCGCCTCCCTGCAGCTCAGGGTGACCGCCTGGCCAGCCGGACTGGAGCACCTGTGGGTCGTGGCCTCAAGGGGTAGGGTGTGCACCAGGTGGCTGGAGTGGGCAAGGTGGTGGCCACACAGATGCTCCCGTGAGGGCAGCGCCCGGGGCAGGGGTGCACAGCTAGCAAGGAGGAGCAGACCAGGACGGCCACACCCCTAGAGAGAAATGCACACCACCCTGTTCACGCCGCAGGTAGCGTGGGTCTGGTGCACGGGCTACCCTTCTGGCCTCCTGGCACACTACCTGGCTGGTACAATTTGTGTGTGATGACAGGCAGAGGTGGAGGCGAAGGCGCAGGGGCGAGTGGGAACGGTCCTGAGAGTCCTGCAGGGGGCGCTTCTCTGCTGTGGGGGCAGTGACTGCTGATGGGCCTCAGCCCCGGGCCCTGTGCCACCCCTGCTCCGTTCAGCCTGTGCCGCCCCCACACCAGCCGGCCTCCTTGGCTGGGCACACTCTGCACCTGCCTGTCCCCCCAGCCCCGCTGTGGCCACCAGCCCCACCCCACTTGGAGCCACGCCCCTTCCCCGGCCCTGGCCGTCCTGGTCTGGCAGCCCTCCTGTCTGTCTTCTCCACCCCCCACAGGCCCCACCTGCTGCGGGGCATAGAGGGGGCACACGGACACGTCCTACTGACGGCCCGCAGGGACAGCTGGAGACAGGTGTGTGGATGACTGACCACTGACCCACTGACTGACTGGCTGAGTGAATGAATGAATGATAGAGCAAATGGGAATAATGGAGTAAGTGAATGATATATAAGGAGTGAACAAAAGAAATAATGAAAGAATGTATCATAGATGAAGGGCCCAAGGAGCAAATGGATGGGTAGATGGTGGATGGTGGATGGGTGGGTGGATGGGTGGGTGGATGGGTGGGTAGATGGCTGGATGGATGGATAGATGGGTCGATGGATGGATGGTGGATGGATGGATGGGTGGATGGGTGGATGGACAGGTGGATAGGTAGATAGGTGGACGGCTAGATGGATGGGTGGATGGACAGATCACGGAAGAAGTGTCTGTCTCCCTTATCAAGTACCTACGACGTGTCATGTGCAGTGCAAAGGGCTTTGCCAGTCGTGACCCCAGTGGAGATCTCTTAACCGTGTGGACGTGCAAGGTGAACAAAATGGGGCGTGGGGGCTGGCAGACAGAGGGCTGTGGGACCTGTTTGGAGCTGGCCCTGCTGTGGCCCCCTACCAGCGCCCACAAGCCCTGAAGGTATGTACGTTCAGCGATGGGATGGGTCTGGACATCTTGCCGTCCGTGTGCTCATGCAGCCCCGGGGGTGGCTGGGGGAGGCCCAGGCCATGTGCTTCCCCATCCGGTGAGACAGCGTCTTTCTCTAAGCTGATGTCTGCCCTCTCCGGAGCCCCAGCCGGCCCCACACAGAGTGCCGGGAGAGGCAGCAGCTTGTGGCAGCGAATGGCCAGAGGGGAACCCTGGGTCGCGAACCCGCGGCCTCAGCGCTGCACTCACGGGCGGGCACTCTTGCCACCCCCATCTCACAGAAGCGGACGCCGACTCAGTCCAGAAAGCTGAAGAAATGTGCCAGCTAGAAAGTGCTGGAGTGAGGACAGGACGGGCCCGGCGCCCTGGCGTGTCACCTGGGCGCTCGACACGGCACAGCACGCTGGGAACCCACGGCGGCGGCGACATCGGGCACCAGGTCAGAACCAGGGGATGGGGGGCGCGGCCAGATGCCCCACAGGGCCTTCTCCCTGCCTCCCTGCGGATGCCCCCACTGTTCACCGTGGGAGTGGCTCCTCCAGTGATGGGGGTGGGGGCAGCCGGCAGCGGACGGGAGGCCCCGACTCTGGGGTTCTGGGGGCGATCCCCCCTGCGGGCTCCCCCTAGGCACCTGTCACCTGCAGCAGCACTGTCTCCTCTGTGCGAGGAAGATACAGGTCCCCGGGGAGCAGACACTGCACCCCTCCCACAACCCTGCCCAGGGCCGTCACCATCTGCGGGGCACAGGTGGGACACTGAGGCTCCTGGAGGTAAAGTCACGTGTCCCCAGCCACAGTGCTGGGAGGGACAGAGCCAGGATTCCAGCCCAGGAGGCCTTGGCTGTGCGTGTGTGCGTGTGTGCGCCTGTGCGTGTGTGCGCACGCGTGTGCCAGCTCTGATGCCCCTCGGGCCCTTACCTTCTCTGGGTGGAAAAGGATGTTTGCGAGGCCCTGCAGGCTCAACACGCGCACCTCAGGGCTGGAGTCCTTGAGGCCTCGGGCCAGCACCGTCAGGGCGGCCTCTCTGGGGAGCACCTCCGGCAGCGTGGGGCTGTAGAGGAACTGGGGCGGCCCCCAAGGGCAGGCAGGTCGGGGTCCTGTAGGGAGCCTCCGCCTGTGTCTGGGGGGCAGGACTTTTAGGAAGGGCAGCAACTGGCACCCCCTGGGTATCGTTTGAAGCCTACTTCCGGACTGGTTTAAGTCTTCAGAGTCTAGCTGGGGAAACTGAGGCCCAGAGAGGGAAAGGGTCACACAGCAAGACTGGGTCTCATGGGACACCTGGGGAGTGGTGGCTCAGACATCCCTGCTGCTGGGGGGGGAGCGGCGCCAGGCGTGGACTTGGGTCTCTCCCTACTGATGATGTCTGTTAACGGAGATGTCAAACGCCCCTCCCCCGCCCCCCGCTGTGGCCCTGCCTCAGTTGCACAGTCTGCCACGTCCACCCCTGTCTTGTTCTAACCTGTGCGCTCTTGACTTCACAGCCCCAGGGGGAACCTGAGCCCAGCTCTGCCTGGCCCACCAGCTCTGTGGCGGAGGGCGGGGCGGGGGCGGGTGGGGCGACAGTTTTGCCCAGGCCACTGACGGGGGGCTGCCGCGTGGGGGACCCGGCCCGGACCGTGGACCACCCTGGAGACAGGAGTGGGAAGGACGGGGTGTGAGGGTCCGTCCAGGTGGGCCTCGGCCCATGGAAGGTCTGATGGGGCACAGAGGCAGCTGGGGGGGCGCTGTGTCCCGGGGGCTCCTGCCTCCCTGTCTAGGCCGCTACCTCAGTGAGGATGAGGACGGCCGTCTTCCGCTCTCGCTCCTCCTCGCTGCGCACGGCGGTCAGCAGCTGGCTGGTCACCGCCTTGATGTGCCCGCAGTGGTTCTCAACCATGGCCCTGGGGCTAGGGGAGGGGGGCTGGGCCTGGCATCTGCCGCCCCCTGGCAGGGGTGGGGCTGGGACAAGACGCCGTGTCCACAGCCCCCGGGGATGTGCGTGTGATCGTGCACGGGGTGGGGGGGCACCGCCTTCCGTGCCAGAGGGCAGTGTGCGCGCGCTGTGGGTCCGTGGGGCTGTGCTCACAGGCGGCCCTACAGCCAGCGTCCTGGACAAGTGGTGGCCGGCCCGCCCCGGCCCCGCCCCTACCTGGCGAGGAGACGCGCGCCCTGCGGGTAGGTGTGGGTGCTGGAGAAGAGTTTCCAGGCGCCCTGCAGCTCCATGTGGGCGAAGTCCTGCCAGTGCCTGGGGCTGGACAGCAGACCCTTCAGTGCCTCCAGCGACGTGCTGCGGGGACAGCGCGCGTCACCGGCCGGCCCTGCCCCAGCGAGGGTGCCCATCCGCCCCAGGATGGAAAGGCACCCTCTGGCTCCTGTCTTGGCTCAGGGCCCCAGCGGCCTGGAGGCCTCCCGGGGGGTGAGCTGTGCTGGGTGAGGGGCAGCATGGGGCCATTCGGACCCCGGGGCTGTGCCCTAGTGTCAGTTGCTGGGGCCGGAGCCTGGAGGGTGCCCCCTCCAGGAGGGAGGGCCTGAGATTGGATGGGTGCACGGTCAGGGTGAGGGGTGCCTGGGGGGCCTCAGAGGATGCGCCTCACGTCCGTGGCTCAGGGCACGGGCTGGAGGGCGCCTCAGAGACCGGCGTCTCCCAAGTCACGGGGGCAGAGGGTGCCGGCCGAGCCTTGAAGGGATGGTGCCCTTTAAATGTGGGGCCAGGAATACAGAGAGGGCACAGCAGGGAGGGAGGAGCAGCACTGGGGGGCGTGGGGTCACGGAGGCCCGGACAAGTGTCCGGCCGGCACTCCTGACGTCCCCCTGCCCTCGGAGGACACAGAGAATCCAGGTTCCATTGGCGCACGCGCGTGTGCACTCACGGCAGTTCTCCAGATGCAGAGCAGGGCGGGCCCGGGTGCTTGAGGCCCAGCGCCCAGTCCTGGTGGCCTGGCTCCAAGTCTGCAGGGCGCCGGGCTGGGCACAGGCATGGGGCTGGCTGGGCACCACAGGCAGGGCTTGGGGCGAGGGCCCAGGAAGGCAGGCCTGGCTGTCCCGTCCCGGCCGCCCGGTGCCCCGTCATGTCTGTCCTGGCCCCGGGTGACAGGTCGAATTGCCCTGGACATGCGAGGAAGCTCCCAGAATGCCTCTGCCAGCGTGGACCGAGCATGACTCCGAGCAGATTTGCGAACCCGAGCGTCACAGGATGGAATTCGCGGTGGCGTCCACCCCAACACCATCTGGCTTGTCGTGTCGACCCAAGATGTGCCGTTTTCCGGGGCCTTGGGCTCAGCCAGAGTGACCACAGTTTCAGGAGACGGGGACTTCAGGGCAGAGTAGCACTTTGTCCCGTCCGTGACGACGCTTGGAACTGTCCGGTCCTGGGGGACTTTGGTTATGACCCCGCACGGCTGCCTTGTCCCAGCAGCTGCAGGAAGGGGCTTCTGGAGAGGTAGCGGGGGGCCGACTGGGGCGTCCCGGTGAACCAGCGCGCCCCACGGGGCCCTGAGACCCCAGCGACGCCTGCCCGGAGCCCAGGCGGTGGTCCTGTCCCCACTTCCCTCCCCCCGCCTCCCCTGCTCCTGACTTTTCCTTTAGCCTTCAGCTGTGGGGGAGCACACAACGTAAAGCCTCCCGAGCTGCCTTTGCGCGCACGGTTCGGCGGAGTGAAGCCCACTGCTTGCGTCCAGCTCCGGGCACTCTGTCCCTCCCCGGCTCTGACACCTCTCGTGCTCTGTGTGCCCGGACGTGGGGCTCCAGGGTCCTGCGGCGGCAGGGGGACCACGCAGCTGTCCTGGGACGGGCTCACCACCCAGCGTCTGTCCCCGGGGCCCGTGCACGTCGTAGCAGGTGTCAGGGCGTCCTTCCGTTTTGAAGCACTGTGTGGACCGCCCAAAGTTTCTTGGTCCGTCCGTCTTGGCTCCTGAGAAGAAGGCTGCTGTGGCCGCAGGTGAGCAGGCACCGGGGTCCCTGCGGGGGGCCCCTGCCGGAAGTGGGCTTGCTGGAGCACGCGGGATTCTGTGTGATTCTGTGTTCAGAGGACCCGCCACACTGCTCTCTGCAGCGGCTACACCCCTGTACCTCCCCTGCCAGGGCTGCACCCCTTTACGTCCCCGCCGGGGGCTGCACCCCTGTACGTCCCCATCGGCGGCTGCACCCCTGTACGTCCCCGCCGGCGGCTGCACCCCTGTACCTCCCCGCCGGCGGCTACACCCCTGTACGTCTCCACCGGTGGTGGCTGTTTTCTCAAGGTGCCTCCTGTTGCCAGGCTCTGCCACCTTGGCCGTGCGTGCAGATGGGCTGAGGCGAGCAGGGAGGGTGCAGGGGTGTGAAGCCTGCCCGGGTCACCTTCCCTGGCCACATGTTAGCTGCTGGAGGGCAGTGCTGGGTCTCCCTCACCTGGACATTGCCCACTCTGGCCACCCATCCCTAGTGCCAACTGGACCTTGCCACTCCCTCTGCATAGAGCCCTCCATGGCTCCCCGCTGTTCTGTGTGGAGGCTGCCTTCAGGGCCTCCTTCCTGTTCCCTCCGTACTTGTCTCCTCTCCCTAAGGCTCTGTGCCCTCCCAGCCCCCACCCAGGGACCTCAACCATCAGTCAGGTCTCAGCCCAGATGCTGGGTCCTCAGGGACCAGACGACACCCCTACTTGCTGGTCCCAGAGGCTGGACCAGCTTAGCAGGGTGTCAGGGACTTGAGAGACTTGATTCTGCATTAACGCTCACTGGGCTGACCCCCGGTATCCAGTGCCATCCCCGTGCTGCCGGGGGCACCCACAGACTGGGCCTCTGAGCAGTGGGTGCCCCGATCCCCTCCTTGGCCTGTGTCCCCCTCGATGGTGCCATGTCGGCCAGGCATCAGACCCTGGGCTGCGGTGACCCACTGGCCCTGGGTGTGTCTGCCTGTCGCCCCACCGTCCCCCGCTATTTGCTGGCACTGCTGCCGGCTGGCCTGCCCTTCCTTTGGGCCCTTTGGGTTCTCCTCTGGGCAGAGGCGGCTCAAGGAGGCCGTTGGAGCCCCGCCTGGTCCACCAGAGCCCCGTGTGCCCCTGTGGCTGAGGTGATTGGCTCAGGGGTGAGCATGTGATTGAGGGCAGGCCAATCAGAGCCGGAGGACTATGCCAGGCAGGGGGTGGAGAGCCTGTCCCTCAGTGGCTTGGGCCACCTCCCTCCTCCCTGGAGAGGACTCGCCCAGAGAGAGGCCAGGAGCTGCCTGAGTGCCGGCCGGCCCGGGAAACAAGCTGTACAGGGGCCCTGGGAGACGGACAGACGCACCCCTCCCTGGGGGAGACGGACAGACACCCCGTTCCCTGGGGGAGACGGACAGACGCCCCCCTCCCTGGGGGAGACGGACAGACGCACCCCTCCCTGGGGGAGACGGACAGACGCACCCCCTCCCTGAGGGAGGCGGACAGACGCACCCCCTCCCTGGGGGAGGGACAGACACACCCCCTCCCTGGGAGCGTCTATGGGACACAGACATTGGTTGTCAGGCGGTGGCCCAGGGAGGGGTCCGCAGGGCGTGAGGAGGACCGTTTGCTGATTTGAGAAGGTGGCTGGGGACACTCAGGAAGTGAGCATGTCAGGGGAAGAGCGAGCAGCCAGTGAAAAGGCCCTGCGGCACTCAGACACTGCGCGTAAGGAACAGTGGGGGCCTCTGAGGCTGGAGCGGAGGGTGTGAGTGAGGCGTGTGTGACAAGAAATGAGGTCCTGAAGCGGCTACAGGGAGCCGGAGGGGGAGGGGCCTCTGGGCCGCTGTGAGCACTGGCTCTTTCTGAATCAAGCGGGGAGAGGCAGGGCGGCAGAGGCCGTGGACATGTTTTGAGTGGGGTCTGGGCTGTGGCGTGGAGGGCAGGGGAGCAGGGGGTGGGAGGCGGGCTAGGGGGCCGGGCGGGTGAGGAGGCTGGACCCGTGTGGGCAGGGGTGGGGCTGGGGGGGGAGCGGAGATGGTTCCTGGCGGCTCCCTCCTAGCCCTCCTACGTACATTCTGGGAGGAGAACGTTTTATTAGCTTATTAGGGAAGATTCATGCATTTTGCATGGTTGATGTGAATAAAAAAAGGACTTTATGCACATTCGAATTCAGAAGCAATACGAGAAGAAATGACATTTTTTTTCAGTGACGCGCCTTCGGGAGAGCTGTTAAAACTGACAAATTACGTGAAACACATCATAACACAAACAAATGAAAAGCGTCGGGTCCGGCGGTTTTTAAAGGCGTGCGTGTTGGGTTTCTCAGGATGCGACCCGGCGCAGAGGGAGGGCAGGTGGCGGCTGGACGGTGGCCAAGCCGGTGGGGCCCGGACCCTCCTACGCAGGTGTGCCCGGCGGCTCAGGCAGGGGCGGAGGCCGAACTGTCCGCGTCGGTGCAGGAGTGCACCGGGCTCAGAGCCACGGACACGAGGAGACCCCGCGGGGCGTCTGCCATCCGGGGCTCCGCAGGGGCCTGGGGACGCCCCTGTCTGCTGCCCCGTGACCCTCCGGTAGCAAGTGAACCGGCCACGTGCCTCCCCTGAGCCCCTCCATGCTGATGGCGGCGCTGGCCGGGGCGGTGCTCGGGGCTTGAACTCCCCCGACCCCGAAGCTCTGTCCCTGTCTGAGTCCTGGGCCCCATGGATGTGGATGTGAGCTTATTTGGAAACAGGGTCTTTGAGGATGGAATGGAGTCAGGATGAGGCTGTGTGGGTGGCCCCAATCCATCATGACTGGTGTCCTTACGGGAAGGGGGAAGCGGAGCCAGAGCGACACAGCAGGGACCGCCAGGTGACGAGGAAGGGGAGGTGGGAACAGTGTCCGCAGCCAGGGGCACGGAGACGGCCAGCAGCGCCGGGGGACGAAGAGGCAGAAGGCGTCGACCCCTACAGCCTTCAGAGGCAGCACGGCCCTGCCAACACCTCGAACTTGGACCCTGGCCTCCAGAACTGACAGGAGGTGCCTGGTGCTGTGGGCCGCGCCCCTGTTTCTCAGCCCTGGGAAGTTAGTGTCTTTGCCTCATCCCTGCAGGTGGAGCCTGAGCCTCCTCCCAGCCCCCTTACCTCTGCAGGCTCGACTGGGCCTCCTCGCTGGGCCGGGCCTCCTCGCTGGGCCGGGCCTCCTCGCTGGGCCGGGCCTCCTCGCTGGGCCGGGCCTCCTCGGGCAGGGTGAGCTCCAAGACGTAGTGCATCTGGGTGAGGAAGGCCAGGAGGAGCTCCGGGTAGGCCTCCTGCATTGCCTTCTTGAACTCGTGGGCAAACTGCAGCTGGTGCAGCAAGTTCATGGCCTGGCAGGGAAGGGGGGACGCTGTAGCTCCCGAGCCTGGGGTCTGGGGGCCCTGCGCCCTCCACAAGTGCCCCCTCCCTGTCCCAGCCTCCCGGGCCGGGGCCACGTCGCTGAGCTGTCTCTCCGGGGACCCTGGCCCTCCCGGCTCCCTGCCTGGACCCAGCGCATCTGGGGGATGCTCCCCAAGCCTCCCGTCCCAGGCCGCCGTCCCCTCTGCAGCCCTGGCGGCGGGGCCGTGAGGCGCTGGGCTCCCAAGCTGCTGCTGGCACGGAGCCTGCCCGCAGCAGGTGTCTAGTGAGTGGAAGCTGGGGACGCGTGGCCCTGGAAGGCAGAGCCATCAGATGGCGGCCAGCCTGAGGCTTCCCGTGCCCTTTGGAGCATTTGGTCCAGAACGTTCTTGAGGTGGGGGGACAGGGTTTTGCGTGTTGAGGGACACAGACAAGACCACCCTGCTGACCCCTGCTCTGTGGTTTCCGGCAGGGAGGGCGTTAAGAAGGCGGGGGGGGGGTGGAGGGGGTGGGAGGGGAGCTGCGCTAGGAGTGAGCTCCCCGTCCCTGCGGCTATGTAAAGAGGAAAGCTGGGCTGGGGGATTTGTACAGGGGGTGGAGCTGCAGGAAGCAGCCTCAAAGACTCCCCCCAAATCTATGGACAGGTTCTCCATTGTTCCTCCCACTCTTCCTCTGCCGGAACCTGCTTCCTGAAGCCCCTGAGCTGTGGGGCCACCTACTCAGCGTGTCCGGGACCCTGGGGCCACGCTACGCGGCCGAGCGCCCTCAGCAGCCCCGAGGGACCACCCTGTCCCACTTGACGGGGCAGAAACGGCGCTGTGTACCCTCCGCCGGACGTGGGGAGCTGGGCCCCCTCCCCCAGCCTGCAGCCAGGGCTCCCCCTCCCTGGCGCCTGGCACAGTGGTGGCCCGGATGCCACCAGTATCCGGGAGTGGTGGCAGTGGTGGCAGAGACTCACGGTGAGCGAGCGCAGGTGGGCCTTCTCCCTGGGCGGGGTGCCGCCGTCTCCGGCCCCGGGGGGCAGCGGCCGCTCACGCAGCCAGGCCAGCAGCTCGGCCACTACCAGGCGGCTCGCGGGCTGCTCGGCCCCCAGGGCCCTCCACAACTGGAAGGCGTGGCTGTGGGCAAGGAGGGGTGGTGAGGCGCCGCCTTGCTGTGTGCAGCCACACCGCGGGCCACCGTGACCGGGGCCTCGGGTACCTGGAGTAGTGGGGGGGGGGGGCGGAAGAGGCTGGGCTGGATCCGGGGGCCTGTGGGGTGGACGGCCATGTGCGTGTGGCCTGGGGGACGTGCGGTGGACAGCGGGCCGGCTGCCCCCTGCCCCCGCCCCTACCTTTGCTGCTGCGGGCCTGCACCCGTGCTTAGAGCACCCCTCCTTCTGGCCTGGGTTTGCTGGGGTCCGGCTGCCCAGGCCCACTGTGGGCCAGGTGGGGGCTGTCAGAGCTTTACAGCGACCTTGTGCCCATTTTGCAGATGGAAAAACCGAGGATTGGAGAGCGAGAGGGGACTGCCCTGATCAGGGAGGAGAGTCAAGCGACCCCGAGAGCTTTGGCTAGAGATGCGGGATGGAAGCCTTCAAGACCAGGTTTGTGGGGGAGGCCAGAGGGGAGGCCTGGGTGTGTCCGGTGTGGAATGGCCCTGGGACACCCACGTGCTGCCGTCTGGCAGGGGGGTCTGTACAGGACGTAGTTACAGCCACGGGAATGGAAGTGGCCACCTGGGGGGGGTGAGCGTAACTGACGGGAGGTGTGGGGACCGAGGCCCCTGTGCTGAGGGGTCGGGAGGCAGGAGGGAGCAGCGAGGAGGCGGAGCAGGGCCAGGTGAGCGCGGGCTTCCGGGAGCCGGGTCAGGCAGGTGTTCCTGGGGGTGACGCTGGTCACCCTGATTAGACAGGGAGGAACCTGAGGTTCACGTGGTGGAGGGACCGAAGCTATGGCTCCAGTGACGCGGCAGCTGGGAGGGCAAAACCACAGAGACAGAAAGAGCAGTGGCCGAGGGGCTGGGAGCACGGAAGGTGGTCGTGGCGTGTTTGTGGCAGTGCTGCCGCCCCCTGTGACACTGTCGTGGTGGACGTGTGTCACTGTACAGGCCCCGCCGTAGCTGTGGACCTTCGGTGGGGCCCCCGGCGTAGCGAAGGCACCACAGCAGCACCAGACGTCAGCACAGGAGGAAACTGGGAGGGGACGGGGCACGTCCGGCTTAACTTCTCTACAAACTTAAAATGGCTCCAAAAGAGAAAATCTGTTAATTAAAAAAAAGGAGGGGGGGCTGGAAAGAGACGCGGGACGCAGCGGTAAGGAAGAAAAGCTGCTGTCGCTGGATTGATGGTGCTGGAGACAACCTGCACCTAAAACTCAGGTTAATCAGGCCTGTGTAAACGGGTCTCCAGAGGCCACATGCGGCATGCTACCCTTCATGTAAAATTACAAAAGCTGCAAGAAAATTGTTTAGCACTATGTTTAGCTGCAAATACAATTATAAAGAAATGAGCAGGCTGGTGAGCCTCGGTGGGGGGTGAGGCGGGGGCTGGAGACGCAGCCCCGTCCTTAGCTGGAGGTCAGGGCCACGATCCTGGCTTCTGTACGGGCCATGGCCTCAGAGCGTGTATTCGATTACTAAAAGGAGCCACTGCTGTAAGCAAAGAACCGATCGAGGCAGGCCGCGCAGCGGGGAAGGCGGACGGCGCGAGGCGCCAGCCCTGTGGTGCGCCCGGCGTTGTGCAGCCGAGGGCCAATCCAACATGGCAGTCGTCGGACGGTAAAAGAGAACAAAGGGAAAAGAAAGAAAACTCGGCCAAGCCTGAGGCTATGCAGGCGCGCAGAGGGCCGAGAACAGCGGACGGAGGAGGGAGCCCTGCTGTGTCAGGCGCGGAGAGCCATCACAACGTCCCAGGAAAGAGAAACGTGGGCGACAGCATGGCGGGGGGCGGGGGGCAGACCAGCAGAGCCCTGCCGCGTGCGACCCACGGGCACTTGGCTGTGAGCAAGTTAGCACCCAGCGCTGCGGGCACAGGCGGGCTTGTGAATGACGCTGGCGGTGGCACCGCACCCGACCCTGACCTCTGACCTCGCATCCGCACGAACCTCGCTGACGGGTTGGCCGGAGACCGGAGTTTGAGAGGCGATCGCCAGCACTGTGGTGAGATGCTAAGATGGTGTGTGGGAGTGGCTGAACTCGGGGCTCCTTTTCACCCAAAGGCACGTTCGGGGAGCGAAAGGCAAGGAGACGCCCTTCCCATCATCAACACAGGCCTCTCATCCAGTTTACATACAGAAGCCCCGGAAATCGGTGGGAGAGTGTGCAGGACACTGGACAGCCCACCGATTCTCCAACGGCCCCAAAGCACGCAAAGAGGCTCATCTTCGTTCTCTACTCAGGAAGGCGCAACCAGGTATGGCCCGATGCTTAATGCCGCCGGGTCGGCTGGCACCCCGATGCCCGGCTAGGAGGTTGGTGGTGGACAAGGTGGAGCAATGGGAACTCTCAAAACAGCCCCCGGGGGAGCGCGAGGTGACGTGCGCTTTGGAGAAGGATTTGGCTCCTCTGTTGAAGTTGGCTCGGGTGGGGCTTTAGGACTCGGACGTTTGTGTGCTAGACTCACAGCTGGCGGGGACCGAGCGCAGAGGGCGCGTAGGAACAAGCAGGGAACAACCCAGGTGTCCCTCTGTGGCAGAAAGGGGACTTGGCGTTCACAGGTTGGGACACTAATCAGCGACATGAGTGAACGAGCCCCGACTATGCGAAACATACTGGACGGAATCGTAAACACACATTTACCACTGAGGGCAAAAGCCACGTGACCGAAGAATATTGGCAGGATATATTCTACGCAATTCTGTTCGCAGTGTTAGGACGCACCACATAGTTTCATGTGCTTCTAAAAAAGAAAAATTATTCAAGGTGGGAGTCAAACCCCATCGCAGAGGCAGGGCCCCAGGTGCTGGGCGCTCATCGTTATGGTCATAAAAACCCAAGCGAGACCCAGCCAGGAGACCCGCACGCCCCCTGAGCACGCTGGGCGGGAGGGAGTTCTCCTGAGATCAGAATCCCAAACCCTGTTTTGGGGCCCGAATTCACACCCCAGTGCGGCTCAAAGAGAAACCTCAGGCACAGACTTTTGCGTTTGGAGTGATCTCCGGCTGACGTGTCCCCAGGTGACTGAGAAGCCCACGTAGACCCCAGGGGTCAGGCGCCTTGGGTGCAAAATGCATTCCCGTCTCAGAGATGTTAACATGTGAAAAATGTGCTTCTTAGAACTGAGGAAATAGGATATAAATTGCAATGCAGACAAAAGGGAACAGCAGACTTCTAGGTGCCTGGAGACAAAGGTGGCCTTCAGGGTCCCCACGCTTCAAGTTTCCTTGAAAAACAGCGCGGAGCAGGGAGGGAAAGGTAACATCGCACAAGAACTATGAGCTCGGAGGACACGGGGACTTCAGCCTTACAGTCAGCAGCCGAGACACGGGCCCACCGCCGCCCTGCCCAGGCTCTGGGCCGCAGACGATGCAGGATGGAAACAAATCACCCCCAGGAGGATGCAGCCCATCCCCCGTCTGAAAACAGGCAACGAGGGAAAAAGAGCACTAAGCACAGGAAACGGGCTGAAAGGCCCGTCCGACCTGAAGGGCAGCCTCCGAGATGCACAGCTTTGGGGGGAGAGAAGGGGCAGAAAAGCACGAGATGCCTTTGGATATTGGGTGGTAAAAGGGATAGTGCGAACGAGAAAAATGTAAGGCCCTGCAGGAGAAAAAAAGAACCAAACCCCCCGGACACTCAGAAAGCCCCCCACTAGAGGACAGGGGACCCTTTCCTGCCAGCAAGACAGAGAATCTACCAAATTATCTGGACTTTGCCAAACTAAACAGAAGAGGGTGCCATTGAACTTGGAATCCTGCAGAACATGCCAGTGGTGTTTTATAGGAAGGGGAACACAATGAACGGATCCACAGAATTGCTGCAAAACCAGGAAAAACGGTCAAGGCGCAAGAGAGGACACCCCTCCCTAAAGAGCAGCCTGGGGCCATAAAGGGGTGAGGCCACACCGCACACGGGGCCCCACAGACTCCAATGAGCACGGAAAGATAGGAAGAGCCACCTCGAATTGGAACTTCAAAAAAGAAAGAAAGAAAAATACCTCAGTAAAGAAAGGAAAAGAGAGTTGACCGAGTTCAGGGAAGAGGTGGAAGAAATGGCAACATTATCGCGCAAGTGGGAAAAATGCAAGATGCCCAGAGGGCTGAGGCGTGAGCCGAGGGGCCTGGAGGAAAAGCAGAAAGACGGCCGCGGAAGGGGCGGAGAGGAGGAGAAGGTAGCGCGGGCGAAGGCGGGCCAGGGCACCAAGGCACCCGGATCACCAGTCTGGAAGGGGAAATGAAGCGGGGGACTAGAACTAGTATTTAAAGTAATGCCCCAGAGAACTTTCCAGAAACATGCCAGCATCAACAGATGCATCTACATACCCAGAGGGCCCACCAGGTCCTGCGAGAGCTGACACAGAGAGATGACTCTGAGACATTTCTTAATAAAATGGTTAAATTTCAAAGATAAAGAAACACGCGGGCGCCTGGGTGGCTTAGTCGGTTGAGCGTCCGACTTTCGCTTAGGTCATGATCTCGCGGTTCGTGGGTTCGAGCCCCGCGTCGGGCTCTGTGCTGACTGCCGGCTCAGAGCCTGGAGCCTGTTTCAGTCTGTGACTCCCTCTCTCTCTGACCCTCCCCTGCTCACGCTGTCTCTCTCTCTCCTAGAAATAAATAAAACATAAAAATTAAAAAAAAAAAAAAATAAAGAAACACCCTCTAAGGTGTTGAGGCCAAAAGACCTCTTGGGGGCGCCTAGGGGGCTCAGTAGGTTCAGCGTCCGACTGCGGCTCAGGTCGTGATCTCACGGGTTCGTGGGTTCGAGGCCCGCGTCGGGCTCTGTGCTGACAGCTGGGAGCCTGGAGCTGCTTCAGATTCTGTGTCTCCCCCTCTCTCTGCCCCTCCCCTGCTCGTGCTCTGTCTCTCTCTCAAAAATAAGTGAACATAATAAAAAAAGCCAGAGCTCTTGCAAAGACAAACATATTTACAAAGGCAAAAAAATTACTGTCACGAGACTTAATAAAATAAAGTGTGAACCAAGGATTTTAAGACCGGCCAAGCTGTCCTTCAAGGCACACGGCTGGTGACACGCCGGTGCCCAGGGCAAGCTGGAGCCGGGCCCCCAGCCTGTCAGAGACGGGCTCGTCCACTTAGGACAGGATGAGGGATCTCCAGCGGAGGGAAGGCCGTGTGTCGGCTCCAGAGCTCAGGCTTTGTCCAAGTGACAACCCAGGAGGGAAGGCTGGGGTGCGGAAGAGCTGGCTTTATGGGCAGGGGGCCGGGAGGTAGAAGGGACCCGTAGAAGACTGATAAACCAGACAACGGAAGCTGAAACCATAAAACAAGGGGCTGTGGGCATTCAAATAGGCGAAGAGCGAAAACATAGCACTTGCTGCAAAAATACAACTCTTCTTAAATGAAAACATTAAGGGTCAAAGAACACACCTCCCGTAGAAAAAGAGACGGAGCAAATAAAATAAAATACACACCAGGTTGGGATATGGGGACCGGGTGGGGACTCCACAGACCAGTCGTATCAATAAACACGAAGGAAGGACTTAACTCCCTTGTTCAAAGAAACAGACTTCTAATTTGGACCACAAATCAGAACCAGGCTCTACGCTGTATGTGGGACGACAGGCACACACCGGGCTGCTGCGGGAACGTAGGGGGCGCAGGTGCATGTTATCCTGGGAACAGACAAAGGGGAACGCAAGCCCTCGGAGTGTCACGTGTGACAGGGCAGCCGCGCTCAATAATGCCAAAAGTCGCCATTGCTCAGGAAGCTGTGTGTCTGCACAAATCCCCTGAGAACCACCTTTATGAGGCAGAAATTGCAGGAGACGGAGGGGTCCGTGGGCAGAAATGTTAGTAATGACTTCGACGTGCCGTTCTCAGAACGAGGCAGAGCAAAATGGACATTGGTTAAATAAATATCCAGCACAGTCAATAAGGCAAATCTGAGGATGCTCATCAACCCCCAGACCTGACGATGGAAAATACACCTTGTTCTCAGGGGCCGGTACAACATGCACAGCAGCTGTTCAAAAGAGCTGCAAATTCCATAAAGCAGAAGCATTGCAGATGAACTTCTCTGACCCCAGTGCAAAAGAAACAAACCGAACCGAACCGAACCGAACTGAACCAAACCTCCAGAACCCTGGAAGTTACTAAAAACAATGTGGAAAGCAGATCTTTCTGGAAACAAGTCTCCGGTGCTGGGAGCTGGAGGGCTCTCTCTTCTGGCGCCTTCTTACCTTTCAGGGGAAGCCAGGGCGTCAGAGGTGCAGGTGGGCCCAGGAGAGGGTGTGCGGAGAGGTGCAGGTGTGTGGCCGGGAATGAAGGGGCAGGTGTGAAGTGGGCGGGGCAGGTTTCAGTGCGAGGGATTTTTGGCAGCTGAGAACGCTAGCCCACCTCCAGACTCGGGGGTCTGAGGGCTTCGGGAGAAAGCCAGCCCCACCCAAAAGGGCCATGGTGAGCACCAGGGGTGGGGGAGGAAGGGGAGGTCCTCGGAGGACCGGGAGGGATGGCTGGGGTCCTGCAGGTGCACCTCAGGTCCACGAGGCAACAGGCGACAGAGGCCGGGCCGGGGTGTTTTGCGTGGAGCAGCCACAGAACGGCGGTGAGCAGCGGCCCCGGAGCCTGCCTCAGGAGGTGCGCAGGAAATGAACGGGCACGTGGGCTCCCTCCCTGCACCCAGGCCTGGGGGGGTCCCTGTGCCCTGAGGAGGGAGGAGGGAGGGTGGGGCCGGGCACCTGTCCAAGGGGGTGGAGCAGTCCAGCAGGGTGGCCACCAGCTCCGGGGCGTGGTTCCGGGCCAGCAGGGTGACGGCGTGCAGGGCGTTGTTCTTGGCTCGGGGCATGTGGATGGAGCAGAGCTGCACGTGGATGGCTCGGCCCAGGTTGGCGACCTGTGTGGGGAGGCAGAGGGTAGAGGGAGAGAGCTGGTCTGAGAGGGGAGGCCAGGCCCTGCCAGGGGGAGTCTGAGGGGAGGTGCTTCCCCGCCCCGGATGCCTGGTCAGAAGGGGGGGTCTCAGGCCAAGGGGAGAGAGGACCCACCACCTTTTCCCTGGCATGTGAGGCCCTCCAAGTCTGCCCAAACAGTGCCCTGTCACCAGAAGGCTCAGACGCACCCGCCTTGTCATGTCCCAAGCGTGCCTCTTGGGTACATGCTGTTCTGGGAGCCCGGGCACCCCTTCCCTTCCACTTCCGGTCTCCTTGCTCACCCACCCAGGGCCCCCCATCTGCAGGACTCGGTATCAACCATCCTTTTCCGGGGGGCCACCCCCACCCACTGGGTGCACTTCCTACGTTGTTCAGTCCTTATTTGTCTGTGTCTGCCTGTCCACTGGACCGAGAACTTCTGGAAGGGTCCGTGCCTTGTCCTTGCCCGTGTCCTATGCCGGAGCCTGGAGCCACTCAGGGCCCCAGGACGCCTGTTTGGGCTGTTCCTTGTCCCCTCCCTCCCTCCCTCCCCCCTTCCTTCCTTCCTTCCCTCCGTGGAACCTGTCGGGTTGGGGTCTGTGGCTCCCCGTCAGGCCTAAGCTCAGGGACGCTGCCTCGGCTCAGAGACCCTCGCCCCAGCTGCGGCCGCCGGGCCTCCCTCTGCCCCTGACCTGTCCCGGCCCCCCCTCAGCGGGTGCCCCAGCCCCCTCACGGTCTCCAGCTTGGCCCCGTGCTCCCGGATGGCGATGAGCAGCATGTTGGCGGCCGCCTGCACGCGCGAGGGGCTGGTGGAGCCCAGTCCGTTGACGGCCGTCCAGATGAGGTCGGTCAGCTCTACCATCGTGAGATGCTTCATGACCTCCTGTGCCAGCAGGAGTGAAGGCAGCTGTCACTGTGGGTCACCTGTGCCCAGGTGTCTGCCCCTGCCTTTGCTTACCGCCCCCCCCCCCGTCAGGTTCTGAGCCCCTCTCCTCCAGGACCACCACACGTGATCACCTACACTTGTCTCTGAGCCAGCCATGGCCCGGGGGCAGGGAGGGAGAGAGTGATGCCCATTGTAGGGCAGAGGCACGGCTCCCTTCCTCGCTTAGACCCCAGTGCCTGTCTGGGACCTGCATGGCCCGGCCAGTCCCCTTTCCTCCCCTCCTCTGCCCTGTCCTCACCTCGCTGGCTTCCTCATCTGCCAGCCTCCGCCCACCTGGGGGCTCCTCACGTCAGGCCCCAGGCCTCCTTCCATCATTGTAACAAAGAGCAATTAATTGAGCTTCAGAGTTGTGAAGGGCCTTCAAGGTCACCCAGGCCACCCTCCAGGCCCAGAGAGGTGCGTGGGTGCCCTTACCACAGCACAGGCTGGGTCCAGAGGTCCTGTGGTAGGGCCTCCGCAGAAGGCCGACTGGCCTCTGCCCACATTCTCCCAAGAGTGGCTCCCAGTCCAGACCATGAGCCGCTTGGGGTGACAAAGAGGCTCTTGGGGAAAATGCAAGGTGGTGGGTGGGATCCTGGCTCCAGAGCCTCAGACTACAGTTTCTGACAGGGACGGCTGGGCCAGCCCTGGGCTGCCCGGGTGGAACCTTCCAGAAAGACTTAGAGCATTATTGCTCGATATGGTCTCCATCAGCCACACAGCTATTTAAACTTAAACTTAATTAAGTAACATTTAAAGCCTCAGTTCCTCAGCAGCACTAGCCACATTTCCAGCGAGTACTGGCTACCTTACATAGTGCAGACAGAGATACTTCCATCCTCCCGGAAAGTTCTATCGGAAGGCTCCGACTCAGAGCATCTGATAGTCAGAGGAAGATAGAATGCTGGTGACGGGGACTGACAGGTTGGAAGTTTCAAAGATGCTGAGGGAGGTAACATGTTTCTTTGCATGCTAGGGTATTTGGCGAAATGTATGAAAGTCTGTTAGGATGTTTGTATTAATATTTAGATATTAAAAAAAGCGTTAAATAACAGATGTTAGAATATTTATTAGAATCATTATTCTAAAGGTTTGGTAAAATGTCTGTGAGAATATTAGGATTAGCTGTTGGTTAGAATGTTAAAAAATTTTAATGGAATATTTGTAGTTTATAACAACTTAAACATATTAAGCTATTATAAATCTGGTTAGAACATTTGTTAGAAGATTACATTTAAAATTGTTTTGGGGGGGGCACCTGGGTGGCTCAGTCAGTTGAGCGTCCAGCTTCAGCTCAGGTCATGATCTCACAGTTCGTGGGTTCGAGCCCCACATCGGGCTCTGTGCTGACAGCTCAGAGCCTGGAGCTGCTTCTGATTCTGTGTCTCCCTCTCTCTTTGCCCCTCCCATGCTCATGTATCTCTGTCTCTCTCTCTCCCTCTCAAAAATAAATGAACATTTAAAAAAATAAATAAAATAAAATTGTTTTTGCAGGGGAGTGCTGGGAGGCTCAGTTGGTTAAGTGTCTGACTTCCGCTCAGGTCATGATCTCACAGTTTGTGAGTTCAAGCCCCGTGTCGGGGACTCTGCTGTCAGTGTGGAGCCTGCTTTGGAGCTTCTGTGTCCCTCTCTCTCTGCCTCTCCCCTGCTTGTACTTTCTCTCTCTCTCACTCTCAAAAATAGAAATAAACAAAAAAAAATCTATAAAATTGTTATATAAAAGGTTACATTTTGGTTAAGGTTCTAGCATGTAGAATGTTTGTGAAGAAGTACAAGTTGGGATGGTGGTTAGATTCCCAGAATCCCAGAAAACTGCAATGTCAGGATTGGTGAGCACCTTTGAGACGTCTTACTTTTAACCCAGGGCATGAATGAATGTGAAATGGAGGTGGCAGTAATGGTAGAGATGGCGGTGGTAGTGGTGGTGGTAACAGTGATGGTGGTGATGGTGGTGGTGATAGTGGTCATGGTGGTGATGGTGATGGTGATGGTGCTGGTGCTGGTGGTGGTGATGCTGGTGATCATGGTGGTGGTGATGGTGATGGTGGTGGTGATGGTGGTGGTGGTGGTGATGGTGGTGGTGATGGTGATGCTGGTGGTGATGGTGATGCTGGTGGTGATGGTGATGCTGGTGGTGGTGATAAAGGTGTAGTATATCCAAGACCACAGAGGGAATCAAGGGCCGACTGGGGGACAGAATCCAGGTTGGTTCTCCATATTGAACCTTCCCAGATCTACCATCTCTAAATCAGCAGACCCTCCTATCTCCTCTCCATGCTCCTGTCTGTCACTGTCTCTTGTCCAGGTGAGAGAGAGCCAGAGCTGAACACCCACTTCCTGTGTGCTGGGACAAAGCACGATAGAAAAGGCCTACTCAGTCCATCTGAGAGCTCCGAGTGCTCTGGGACCCCTTCACCACCAGCTCCCTCTGAGCTGGTAGCCTCCCACCTGCCCTGCCCTGCCTCTGCCCCCAGCCCAGGTTCTTTGGCATAAACTGAAGCCAAGCTAGGCTTACCCCTTCTGGGACTGGAAAATTGATGTGTTGGCCCTCGGGCTTTAGATGTTGCATCCTACACTTCTGGTTGATGGCAGCACTAAAGGTCACTCCAGTTGCACAGAACACAGGTTCCGGCATGAGCCAGGGCTGGATTCAGAACGTGCTGGGGCACTCGCCAGCGTGTGCGACCACTCCTTCCTTTCATTCAATCTGACTTGAGTGGTAGCTATCAAAGGCTGGCTCTACCACCAGCCCCTTGCACTGGGCCCTGGCAAGACCCTGCTTCTGGCCTGGAGTGCTCAAGTCCAACAGGGAGAGACCAACAAGCATGGCAAGTACAGGTCTTCACTAGCCACGGGCTCAACACTGAGAGTGGACGAGCAAAGTCACCGTGTGGAGACACCATGAACGGACCACTCAGAACATGAGGCTCCACCAACCTTGGCTTGTCCAGTTAACACCAGCACCCAGCCCATGTCCAGTTAACACCAGCACCCAGCCCATGTCCAGTTAACACCAGCACCCAGCCCATGTCCAGTTAACACCAGCACCCAGCCCATGTCCAGTTAACACCAGCACCCAGCCCATGTCCAGTTAACACCAGCACCCAGCCCATGTCCAGTTAACAGCAGTGTCCAGCCCACACTCGGTGCCTTAGACTCACTCATGTTCACAAGAGAACACCAATCAGGCACAGAACATCATGGCTACAGGGTCTCACGGGGGGACAAAAGGGACTTCGGGGAACTGCTGGGCTCCGCCAGGCCGCTGACCAAGGAGGAGCTGGCTGAGGTAGACCAGGTGACCATGCAAGAGAAGCCGTTCTCTGCCTTCACAGGAGGAGGGTCTGGCTTTCAGAGGGTTGAGAGGCCCCTGGGAAAACGAGGGATTCGGGGATATTTCTGCAGAATGCTCATCCTGCAAAAGCCGGAGCAAAGGGAAGGATGTCATCTGGTGCCTCAAGGAACACCCGCCGTGGGAGCCATCCTGAAAGCACCATTTACTGGCTGCTCATGGTGGCCAGGACTTTACAGTACCAGTCTGCTTATCGTACAGAGAAAGCCGGGACGTCAGAGAGGGGAGAAGGCTTGTCTAGACTGCACAGCCTTGAGGGGCCTGGGACTCAAGCCTGGGCTGCTGACCCCAAGGTCTGTCCTTGGTCTCACCCTCCAATTCCCCATCCCCCAACTCCCTGGTCCCAGGCCATGGCCGCGGCCTTCTCCAGACTCTCTCAGTTAACCACCAAAGACACGGGTGAAATCTCGGCCTTGGTTTTCACACTTACACCTGGCTCAGGCTCTGACTCCGGGGTGCAGCAGGGCCACCCCAACAGCTGGAAGTCCTGTAGTGGGGGTCGGAGCAGAGCATGGCCACGCCTCTCCCCCCCAACCTCCCCACCCTTCTAAGGGCTTTGACCTTGATGACTTGGGAGCTGCCAGGTTGGAAGATGTGATCCTTCGTGAATGCCATCTCCTGGGGGGCCGGAGGAGCTGCCTTCCCATCTCCGCTGCTCCAGAAGAGGGCCCCATCCTTGCCGGCCTGGGAAAGCTGCTTGGGGGCCCGCGCCTCCACCTTCAGAACTTGTCTCGCTGGCCGGGGGCGGGAGTGGGCAAGGGTGAGGGCGGGGCAGAGGTGGGCTGGGGTCCAGGTTGGGGCAGGCAGGAGTTAGGGTGGGGTCACTTGTATTCAGGGTCAGGCCTGTGCCCTTATGGGGACGGCCTGGGGGTAGCGGGCATTACAGGGCTGTGGTTGGGGTTAGATGGGGGTGTGGGGGCAGATCTGGGATGGGCTGTGTTCAGGAGTGTGGGTGTGGTCTCAGCGGAGGCTGTGGTCAGGGTGGCCCTTGGAGGCTCACTTCTCTGGCGCATCAGGAGCTGGTAGACGTGGGACACCCCCTCCAGGCTGGAGTGCTGGGTGGTCTTATCAGGGTCCTGGCACAAAATTCCCAGCATGCCCACCAGCTGCCCAATCCTCTGGAAGTCCTCTTTTGTCTGCAGTGAGAGTATGGGAACAGCGGCTGCAGACCCTACCCTACCACGGGGTCTCCCCACTGCTGTGCACTCACCCCAGCTCGGCCAGCATCAGAATGCATCCCCTCCAACCGTGCGGCCGGGCTGGGACTCAGCTTTCAGAACCCCAGGCCCAGGCTCTGCCCACCCAGCCAGGCCACTATAGTCAACAGCTCAGGGCACACCGGGCAAAACTTAAGGGGCTGCCCCAAACTTAGAAGTGAAGAGAAATGATATTTTAAAGCAATATTTAGAAAAGTCAAAATGAGTGTAACAATTCCTGATAATGACAATTTTAAAATTGTATGTAAAGAGGTGGTCTGCACTACCACCACCTTACTTCATCTTGCTTCACTCCCCTGGCCCCAACCCCAGCTCTGGTTTCAATAAAACTTTATTTATAACAACAGGCAGGCAGCCCGCAGCCATGGTCCATTTGCCTAGTAGATTGCTTTAAAACACCACATTATTTATCTTGATTGCCGGGTGTTTTGCTGTCTGTGTAAATTTTGGGCCCCACGCGAGTGCCTCACTTGCCCCGGCCATAGTCCGGGTCCTGCGTTGCGGAAACTGATTGTGAATGAATTGCAGGCCCCTTGAGCCCCTCTAGAGGGGTCCCCCTCACCCTGGGAATGCAGGAGGAGTCTGTGCAGGGAGCTCTCCCGCCACCCCAGCCCCCCACCCCCCCCCACACCAGCCTCTCCACCTTCATTAGGAAGGCCCGCCCGCCTGGCAACGTGCAGAGAAACTAATTTTCTCAACGCTCCACGAGTCTCTCTAAGGAATTAGTGCTGATTTTGGCTGATAAACGCAGAAGTGCTCATTCCCTGACGGTGCCGACGTTCACTCAACCCAAGGGCCCTGGCGACAGACGGTGGTTAGACTGTGAGGCATGACTCGCTGGGGTGGTGATGGACCCGCTGGGGGGGTCCCCCTCACCCTGGACCGGGGCGGGGCTGCACCTCACCTGATTCCCACTGTATCCCTCTGAACACTCATTTCCTCCCATTTCACTGGTGAGAAACTGAGGCTCAGGGCATAGAAGAACCTGCCTGAGGCTTCAAGGTGCACTGACAGGAGCCCAGCCTTCTGGGTCTGGGTTCCAGGCATCTGGGATCAGACCCCGCTGGGAGGACTTGAGCGGGGGGGGAGGGGGCAACCTCCGCCCCCAGCCTGTTCCGTCGTGTGTGAAAAGGGGAATTGCATTGTGTGTTGCAGGGCACTCAGGGATCCACGCTGTCCTGGTGGCAGATGTCCAGGGGGCCTGGAACCCCACGAGCCTGTCAGGCTCTGGGAGGAGGGTGGCTTGGTTGGGGCAGCAGAGGGGCCGTGGGGTGTGGGGCGGGCGGGCTGGGTACTCACATCCAGGTAGAGGTTGTGGCTCAGGAATCTGAGGAGGGCCATGCAGCTGTGCACAGCCCGCTGCCGCTCGTGTGCCTTCTCCGACGCCAGCCAGACGTACATGTGCTGCGGGCAGGGGCAGGGAGGGGGTGCTGTGGGCCAGCTCCGCCGGGGACCCCCTGTCAGCCCTGGGCACACCTCTTGGCTCAGGCCTGGCTCCCTTAACCAGGCCTCCGGCCTGCAAGGCTCCGCCCGGTCCCGGGCCCAGGCCACACCCACCTGGGCCGAGGCCACGCCCAATCCAGCCACGCCCCTCATCTCAGGCCCGCCTCCTCAGTAAGGCCCTGCCCACCCGCGACTAAGGCCTCACCCACCCAGGTCTTGCCCACCCTGTCCCTTTGCACAGCCTCTACTGTCCCCTCCGCTCCAGACAGCCCTGCCCGACAGGAGGGGTCATTTCCTGCTCACAGTCCTTTGAGGCCCCTGGTTTTTAACCGGTTTGGCGACATGTACCCCTTTTCACATCAGTGCTTTTCTGTGCTCCCCATAATTGCACAGAGTCCCAAAGGAGTACAAACACATACTGAAACAGTTACACTGAACAGTTTTAAGCCAAATCGGAGCTCTTGCTGAAAGAATGGATGCTTATTAGTTAGTGATTCTGACGTCGGACGAAGGAAACTATTTGGAGATTCCGTGACCCAGCGATGTCCTATGGTCACATCTGTGACTCCCACTGGTGGGAAACTCAGCCACTCCTGGCCCTGCTGGGTTTGTCGCCAACATTCCCCGGGGAAGGACACGCTACTTTCCCCGGGGCGGGGGGCCAGGAGGGGGTGAGTGAAAAATGCAGATATTTCCCCCAGCCCCGCCAGGCACACGACTTCCGTCTGTGCACCGAGCTTGGGGGCCCCTGCTTCAGCGGCTCCCCTCACCTCTGCAAGGCCTCCGGGCTGGACCTCACCTAACCCCGGCCCCTCCCACCCTGGCCCCCTGCAGAATCTCCCACCTCCTGGTCCTGGCCGCGGTGCTCACACGTGCTGCTCACCTCTACCTGGCCGGGCCCTCTGCCTGCGGGGCCCTTCCCTTCCCTTCTCCACCCCATGACCTCCTCAGTCCTCATTCAGGTGAAGTCCACTGGCCCCGACTTCCGGCCCTCCCAGCTGAACCAGTGTCCTCTGGTCCCTCCCCGGCCCCTGGACTGTCCCTGCCTGGTGACCAGTATCCCTCCGGTCAAGGTGAGAGGGTGGCGATGTCTGCGCTGGTGAGAGCCCTCCTCACAGCTCGAGACAAGAATGCAGAACGAGTTCTCGGTGAGGGGGCGGGGAGTGGGGAGCGAGGGCAGGTCCCAGCCGGCTTCCTCAGCAGCAACCCTTAAGTGTGGCACTCAAGGCCTCCTTACCACCAGGCGCACCTGCAGTCCCACGCTCCAGTTCTCCCAAGCCACTGCGATCCCTGAAGATGGACCGCCCTCAAGCCTCCAAGTCCATGGACAACTTGCCATCAAGAGTTCAGGCCCTGCCTCCTCTGGGGCATCTTCCTTTGTCCATCCTCTGCCCCTGGCCCCGCCCCCTGCGCTCTGCCCGCTGCCCCTCGCCCCTCACCGACAGCAGGAAGTGCAGCTCCTCGGCTGTGGGGTTCTGCATGATGAAGCTTTGCAGCATCTGGTCCAGGGCCTCCGAGGTCTTGTTGTAGAGGGTCTGTGCAGGGAGGTGGAGTGGGTCAGGCAGCCGCCAGGCCTCGGCTGCAATCACGGGCCAAGGCCTGCTGCAGGGCCTCTCGATGGTGCCCCTTCCCTCACATTCCCGTGGCCAGGCTGCACGCCATGCGCATTCACACCGCGTCCAGGAAGGGTCCCGGCACAACCGCCCTTTGGCGACTGGGGAGATTGGGCAGGAGGCAGTCTGGGTCACACCTGCCCAAGGTCACGGATTTCTCCGTGGCCAAGGTAAGTTCATTTGCAGCAGGGCTGGCTTCTCAGGCCAGCAGCCTGCATGGGGCCTGGCGCCCAGAAGGATCTTCAGGTGCTCGGTTTACTGCTTTGCGGTCCCATCTTGAAGTCGCCCATCTTGAAGCCTTAAGCCGGGGCCTGCCCTTTCATTTTGCGTGAGTTGAGGCAAATTATGCAGCTTGTCCTCACTCCTGGGTCTCATGAGAGACCCCCCCCCAGTCTTTGCTGCTTGGCTCACCAGGCAGCAGGCTCAGGGAGGGCGCCGGCCAGAGAAAGTGCCCACCCTGCTTCCCTGCCAGAGCACGTCAGAGCAGAGGCCTGGGCGCTGACTGTCTACTCCCTGGGTGCCCTGGGGAACTTGCTTCAGCTCTCTGAGCCCACCTTCGTCGCCTGAGAACTGGTTGTGAAGTCAGCCCCACCTGCTAGGGTGCTGATGGACACGGAATGGGAAGGAACAGGAGCCCCCAGCCTGCTGCCTGGGACCCTGCTAAGCTCCCTAGGTGAGCCAGCCATGACGTTGTCATCTGGTCATGGGGCACTTTGGACTCCTGCGGGGTTGGGGTGGGGGCAGGCCTTCTGCAGGGCTGCGGCTGTGGTGTTGTCCCGGGCCCGGGGGACCCCTTGCGCTCTCTCCACCCAAAGTGCTTATCTGTCCCAATCCAGCCTGGACCCAGCCAAGGGGCAGGGGTGGGGTTCGACCCCGACCCTCCCACCAGACACTTCCATTTCTCTGGGCAGCTTTCCTCACTCTGGACAAGTGAGCTAACATGAGTTAGAGTAGCTAACACTCTGGGAAGGTGAGCTAACATGCACACAGGGCCTGGCACAAAGCAGGTGCTCAGTTAACACCAGCTCCCTGCCCTTTACAGTAAACACTTGGGCAGCAGGTGCTGGTGGTGCCCCAGGGAGATGGGTTCATGTCCTCCGCAGAACCCAGGAGGGGGCAGGCATCTGGCCCAGCGAAGGATGGGCCTGCTGGGGCCTAGGTGGGGCGTGACCAGTTAAGTAGTGAGACAGCCCAGGGCTGCTCTCTGGGCAGGCAGGGAGAGAAGCCACCTATGCTCCTATTTGCAGAGCACCCTGTGCACCAGACTTGGGACACCAATGTCTCCTTTTATCTGGAGCATTAAGTACTAGCAGCTCTACAACTACTACTCCCATGTCACAGGTGGGCAAATGGAGGCTCAGAGCAGTTAAGAAACAGACCCAGGGTCCCTCAGCCCTATTTTATGGGAGGGGAGGGGGTTGGTGGTCAAAGGCCCTGCCATCTAGCCTGTACCCCCTCTCAAGGCACGAGCAGCAGGCCGAGCTGGGTACCTGCCCAAGGGGCCCCTCATTGCAGGACCCATGTGCCAGCCTCACACCTGTATGTTGGGCGGCTCCAGGAAGAGGCAGGTGTGTTTCTCCAGGACGTCCAGCATTGGCAGGGCCAACACACTGCGGAGGCAGACGGACAGAAGCCGTGATTTCCTCTCCAAGTCCCAGGGTGGCTTCAGCTTACTGTTTGGAGGTAGAAGGCAGTAAGGGAGGGGGTGGGGGGCCGGTGGTTGCAAAGGGGACCCTGGCCATACTAGATGAGATTAGACAAATCCTGAGCAGCAGCCCCTCACCCAGTTCTGTCCTTGACCAGAGACTCAAGTGTACGCTTCTGCCTCGCTGGCCTGCAGGGTCTCCTGGGCGGGTGAATCCCAGGAGGGTTTGTAAAGGACTAGCATGGCCTGACTGGGAGCATAAGCTTCACAAGCCTTGTACCCCGGGCTTCCCTTCACTGGACAGACTGTCTCATTCCAGCCCTGGTTACACCACTGGGACCTTCAGTGGCTCTGTTTGGGCAAATGATGCTAAACTTTCATTCTTTGAGGTGTGAATTAATCACAGTAGCTGCTGTTTATTGAGAGCCTCTTACAGGCCTGCACTGGGGTCTGACCCTGTGTGGGGCCAGGGAGCCTACCAGAGGCTGGAGATGATGTGAATGGTCTGCTGGCGAGTTGACGTGCACAGTGTGTCCTGGGGTTCCTTCTCCATCAAAACCTGCAGATCCCCAGGTGAAGGCTGAGTAACTCAGGCCTGGGCTTATCACACTTCTGACACCAAGTCTCATTCCTGCCTGAAGAGCCCAAGTCTGGCACTCCCATGGCTCACAGGATCATGTTCCAGCTTCCTACCCACCCACGGGGCCTTCTGTGGCCTGACTGCCCCTAGAGATCTAGAGCACAGCCTTTAGAGTAAGACAAGTCATGTCTGGACCCTGACCACCACATACTGGCTGCACGACCTTGAGCTGGACCCTGACCACCACATACTGGCTGCATGACCTTGAGCAAGCCTCCACACTGCTCCAAGCTTTGCTTCCTCACAAATAACAGAGTGTTGTTGCACACACGTTATGTGTGAAGCAAGGTGTGCAAAGCACAGTGTCTGAATCATAGCAGGAGCTCAGGGCTCAGTAAACTGTTATTTTATTATTACAGTTGTAATTGTCCAGCACTTGTGTGTTTCCTCTACTATCCTGGGGTTCCATGAGCCCCAAACCTCTAGTGAGTAGAGGTCTGAGCTGGGATGGTAGTAGCAGAATGGATGCTGCTGGCCTTTCTGGGCCTCAGCCACATCATCTGTGAAGTGGACGTAGCTGGCTGGCTCAGGATCACTGGAGAACCAATGGAAGTGGGGGGCATGAGCCCTAGGAGGGGCTGGCGCACACCCTAGAAATCCAACTTCTCTTCCCTTTCCAGCACCTGCCTCTTGTGCATGCTGCTGGCCTAAGGCAGGAATCTCCTCCCTCCCCTTCCTCTGCCTCAGGACCTTGACTCACCATCAGACACTCGAGAAGCTCCGAGATCTGGGGGAACTCGTAGCTGTGGGCCCCCTCATTGTGGCTGATGGCCCCCACCAGCATGAGGACACTGGTGAGGAAGCTCTGCTTCAAGGTCTCATCCTGGCAGGGGGGCATGGGGACATGGGGTCAGGCCATGGAGCGGGGGATGGAGGGACCACAGGAAGCGCAGGGGAGGGAGTGCCACCATTACACGTGGCTGCAGGGTGTTGCTGAGGGAGTGCGGCAGGGACCTGCAGCGAGGCCACAGATGTAGGGCTTTGGGCGGGGAGCCCGTGTGGTTTTGTTTAAAAATGTGGATATGTTGACAACATTTCAAGGTCAAGTGTAAGAAGCCGATGTCTGGCCTCACTCAATGTGTGGCAACCCAGAGCCCAAAGATTGGGCTGTGCGATGGCCTCACTGGGCTGACTGGCACCTCATGGCCCCCTGGGGTGGACGCCCTGGGTGCAGAATATAGAGTCAGCAGGGCCATCGTCCTGGGTAAGGTCTGAGGAATCACCGGGCCTTCCAGTGCGCCAGAGTGAGAGCCAAGGAGAATGTGGGGGCGGGGCCCCCATGGAAGCCCTCGAAGCTTTGGGTGGGATGACAGGCTGAGCAGGTGGGACAATGCGGAGGCCAGGCTGGCTCGCCCTGACTCCAGAGTGGGGTCAGAGTGGGAGGAGAGCCCCAGGGCCCTGGAGGCCCCGCAGGCCCCGCCTTCCCTGACCCAGGTTCCGGCGGGGCCTGGGCTGTGTCAAGGCCGGGCCCCGGAGGGGTGGCCCGGGGAGCCGTACCCAGGAGCTGTAGTGGAAGTAGAAGACCATCCGAGACAAGATGCTGTCCACCCACGGGAGGATGTGCGCCCTGGCCCTGACCGCCATCTGACCGTAGGCGAGGAGGACGGTGCTGCTGGCCCACCTCCACTGCAGGTCCTCCGACCACTGACCCTGGTGGGGACAGACGGGGAGTGTCGGGGCCTGCCTGGCCTGGCCCTGGGGGAGCGGCGGCAGGAAGTCCTCTGCACCCAAGTGGGTCCTGCAGGCAAGGGCTCTGAGTGGTTGCGAGACTCAGTTTGCCTCCACAGGAAAACAGGGAGAGTGGCACCATCCCTCTGGGGACTTGGAATGGGTCTGTGGGGTCACCCGAGTGTGTACGGGGCGCTTGGCTCTGCCAGAACTGGCCAGGGTCCCAGCCCCTCACCCGCCCTGCCTTGGGGCAGCCCCCTCGCCAGGAGCCTGGGGCCCATTTCACCACTGGGCTGCTGGGGGCTGGCCAGGCCATGCCTCAACCTAGGGAGATGGTAATGGGGCCCTGGACCTTCAGACCCGTGGGAGACCCAGAGAGTGGGGGGGGGCATCCGAGACACCCTCAGATGTCACCTGAGGACCACGTGACCCCAGTGCCCGTCAGTGACTCGCGCCGGACCCCCCCCCCCCCGGGCTGTCTGTTGTGAACTGTGACTCCTCCCCCCTCTGTCCTGAGCTCCCTCATGCAGCCCCGGGCCCTGATTCTGCCCACAGGAGTGACCAGGGGTGCAGTGAGGACAGGGTGGGCGTGCTGCCCACCTGTGTTTCACGCAGGGCATGTGTCAAAAGGCCATTAATAAACACAGCAGCCAGCACACCTGCTGCAGAGAAGTCACTGGGGCACCTGCTGTGAGCCAGACATTTCAAAGCCACGGCTCATTTCCATCCCAGCAGCTGGGAAGGGGGGAATTGTTAATCAAGAGGAGAAACTGAGGCAGGGTCCCGCTGCAGGCGGGACTGGAGGCCAGGAGGCTTGGTCTGAAGGCTGTGGCCTGAAAGACCCCAGGAGACCCTCTCGGATGTCCGGAGCTTCACACGCCTGATGCCCAGCCCCTTGCCCAGGCCCCCAACCGCCCCAGACCAGAACCTTGAGGCAGAAGCTGTTGAGGCTCCACTTAATGGGGCTGCTCTGGCTGAACTGCTCTAGAACGCACCAGACGTGGTCCAAGTGGCGGGCTGCGGCCAGCCCGACGGTGAGCGCGATACCCTACAGGCGCAGGGGGCAAGGCCACGTGCTGTCACAGGACCACGCCTGGACTCGCACCTGGGGGTGTGGAAACTGAGGCCCAGGAAAGGAGGGGACTGGTCGAAGGTCACAGGGACCCCCTCCCACTGCCATGCTCTTCAGGATCTGCAACTCTAGCTCAACGCTGTGAGGGCGTCTCTTACAGGGGCGGGTGGGTGGTGTGGGAGGCAGGGGGGGAGGAGTGACTCTCCGGAGGCCTGTTCCCTCCCCCTGTCCCCACTAGCTTGGAGCAGGCCTGGGCCAGGGGAGGGAATGAGGGTCCAGGAAATAGATGTGTGACAAAGGAGAGGACACAAGCTATGATAAGCCCGGAGTGTGACCAGGGTCAGGGCCCAGAGTGTGACCAGGGTCGGGGCCCAGTGCGTGACCAGGGTCGGGGCCCAGTGTGTGACCAGGGTCAGGGCCCAGAGTGTGACCAGGGTCGGGGCCCAGTGCGTGACCAGGGTCGGGGCCCCGTGTGTGACCAGGGTCAGGGCCCAGAGTGTGACCAGGGTCGGTGCCCAGTGTGTGACCAGGGTCGGGGCCTGGAGTGTGACCAGGGTTAGGCCTCAGTGTGTGGAAGGGATCAGGTTTCTCTCTATGGCCTGACCAGGGCTCAGGGCATGAGCAGGGATCAGGCTAAGCCTGAGGTCAGGGTCAGGCAGCTGTGGGCTAGGCTGCGGGCCGGGTCCTCACCTCCCTCTGCTTGGGCCATTCGTGGGACGTGTCCAGGAGGGCTTTCAGGTGCGCCCTGACAGCGGTGGCGTTGTCCTCGGCTTGAAGGATCAGCCCGTAGTAGATGAACAGAAAGATCTGTGGGGGGAGGTCCAGCCGCTTGTCCTGGGCCTGAGCCACCTCTGTCCACCCCGACAGCCTGCTGCCTCCCCTGACCAGGCTGCCCCCAGCCCCTGGGCTCCTGTAGCCGCCCTCACGCCCCGGCCTAGTGGTGGGGTTTCGAGGGTGCCGCTTCAAGTCCTATTGCTCAGGCCCCTGGCTCTTTGTTTCTTTCGGGTCTCAGTGTCCTTCTAGGGCCCCGGGCCTTGCTTTAGGTCCATCTTATGGACAGAGCCCCTGGGGCTGCCTGGGGGGGCAGGGTGTGGCCCACCTTCTCGGGGGGCTGCTCCTGATGTGTCCGGTCGGGCTTGGTGAGCGCCAACAGCAGCTCCTTGAACCACATGTCCCTGTTCAGGAACTGGACGGACTTGATGGCCATCTGTGAGCAGATGGGGGAGGGCAGGGCTGGAGCCGTCCCTCCCTCCACCCTGCGGGCTGGGGCTGAGGCCTCCCCCTGGCCCCGGAGCCCGGAGTCCGGCATTCTCTTGCCTTTCTTCCTGAGTCTCCGGGGCCCGCCCTCTGAGTCCCTTCCTGGGAGGCGTTGGAGGAGAGGCTGAGACCAGGAGCCTGCCCCCGTCCCCACGCCGGGCAGGGGCTCAGACATCACAGATGCTCGGTGAGCCTCAGGTGAAGGCGGCCCGGCCAGAGTGTGGGCACCAGGCTGTCTCCTGGCACCTGGAACTGTGCCTGGCATGTGGTCGAGGCTCCAGTAATAACGTTTTGAAGGAATGAATGCGAGATCAGAGACACGAAGGAAAGTGTCTCTTCTAAATAGAAAGTCCTAGAAGTTTTGCCCTAACATACGAGGCTGCAAGATTTCTTTATTTCGCTGTTCCCGGATTCCACAACTCAAGTCCAAGATTTTGATCCCTAGGTCCTTTGGGGGTGGGGAGTACCCCTTCCAAATATGATCCCAGGCCCCCAAGTCTTTATAGAAGAAATGATTGATGGATATGAAGGTAAAGATTTTCAGAGGTTTGTTTGGCAAAACCACCATATATTAGGTTGAAAGATGCAGTATTTGTGTTTGCTTGTTTTATTTTTTTTTGTTTTTGGTTTTCCTACAATCTATTGCTGAGGGTTAATATTGATGATAATGACCACTTCATAAACTAATAAGAAACAGCGACAGTCCACTTAGAGATAGTGGAAGCACACACACGTGACAGAGCGGCTGTCAACTCAACCTTGCTAATATCTGAGGAATGGAAATTAAGATGATATATCATTCTGGCCAAGATTGGCAAAAAATAAAATTGCCGGGTGTCAGCAAGAAGTGTCCTTTGGGGGGAAGATGATGGTGTTATGCCCGAATCGCGAGTCCCCAGAGACCTCCAAGGAACCGGCACCAATGCAAGAACAAAAGGGTCTTTATTACAAGCTCGAGCAGGGGCTCACCCGTCTCCCGGCGCAGCGGCAGCCAAGTGAAGCCCCGAACAGTGGGGAGCAGGGTTTTTATGGGGGAAGGGCAGGGGTGTTACCGTGCACACGTTGTACGTTTTGCATCATTACATAAGCACCAATCAGAATTGTACAATGGCCATAGTAACAGCATAGTAACAGTTTTGACCATTCAGTATCTGCGAGGCGTCCGTTATGTTTGGCGGGACCCAATCATGACCTTTGAGAGTCTTTTAAAATGACCATTTATGAGGTGGGCTCAGAGAATCTACGAGGGGCTTCTGCAAGCAGGTGATTGATTGGCAAGTGTGTACAAAGTAACTACCTGCAGCTCCCAGCCCTGACTCGTCTCCAAGACCACAGGAACGTGACACATTTCTTTTGATGGGCAGATGGGAGGGCGGTCGGAGGGCGGCTTCAGCTGAGGCTTCTCCTGGGACTGGACTCCGTGCAGCCTGAGGTTGTTTCTAATGGGGGACTTCATTTCAGGCTCCTCAACGGGTCTCTTATTTTTTTTGGTGAAGCTTTTGGCAGGCATCGGTTAAAGTTTAAAACGTGCGTACGTTTCCCCAGGGGATTCCATTTCTAGGAGGCTCACTGACGGGCGCCTTGGTAGGAGCGCGGGGGTATCCATTCTGCAGCCTCGCTGGACGCGAGCCGGCTGCGAGCGCCCCCTGCAGGTGGGGCCTTTAGCGCCCTCTCTGGCGATGCTGGGTAGGGCGGGGCGGGGCGGGGCTCGGTGGGGGGCGCCCTGAAAGGGAAATTGCTCCCCACTTGCTGCTTCCGGCTGAGGCTGGGGGCGCTCGTCTGCCCCAGTTTTGCCCCGCGTCTGGCCTGCTTGCAGGACGCTGGGGCGCAGCAGGGCCAGCTGGCTCCCCACCCGCCTCGCCCCCAGTTCGGGCGTCCCCTGAAGGCCGTGGGACCCCGGCCACCCGGAGGCCCTGGGCTCTCAGCTGTCGTCCTGCTCCGTCTCGCGCAGCGCGTACTAGCGGTTCACAGTCAAAACCCCGGAAAATTAAACTTTTTCATGGCTGTGCAGCAAAGTCATTTGGCGGTAAAAGCTGACCCAAACTGATGTGACACTGGTGACACTGTTTATGGCCATTAGTGTGAATTTTGTACGTTTCTGTAGCAGGGATATTAATATATATGATCCCACATCTTCCCCAGACCCTGCTAAGGGTGCTAATAGAATATATAGGGTGGGGGCCACATTACTTTAAAAAAAATGAAATCTCTGATTTGGGGAACAAATCTGTTTCCAAAGTTACAAATTTGCCAGGTTTTAAAGATTAAAAACAAATTTTTAATGTCTATTTATTTTTGAGAGAGAGAGAAAGAGACAGAGCGTGAGTGGGGGAGGGGCAGAGAGAGAGGGAGACAGAGAATCTGAAGCAGCTCCAGGCTCCGAGCTGTCAGCACAGAGCCGGACACGGGGCTCGAACCCACGAACTGTGAGATCATGACCTGAGCCGAAGTCGGACGGATGCTCAACCAACTGAGCCACCCAGGCGCCCCTAGTTTTAAAGATGTTTTTTCAAATAATGCTTATTTATTTTTGAGAAAAAGAGAAAGACACCAGGGGAGGGGCAGAGAGTGAGAAGGGGACAGAGGATCCCAAGCGGGCTCTGCGCTGACAGCAGAGAGCCCAATGTGGGGCTTGAGATCGTGACCTGAGTCGAAGTCAGATGCCCAACTGACTGAGCCACCCGGGCGCTCCACATTTTAAAGATTTTTTTAATGTTTTTTTTTTTTTTTTTTTAATTTATTTCTAGGAGAGAGAGAGAGAGAGACAGCGTGAGCAGGGGAGGGTCAGAGAGAGAGGGAGATACAGACTCTGAAATAGGCTCCAGGCTCCGAGCTGGCAGTCAGCACAGAGCCCAACGTGGGGCTCGAACCCACGAACCGCGAGATCATGACCTAAGCGAAAGTCGGACGCTTAACCGACTAAGCCACCCAGGCGCCCCTTAAAGATTTTTTTAAATTAAAGTTTAATTCACACACAATGTTATATAAGTTTCGGGTGTGCAGCGTAGAGATTCAACACTTCCTTACACGGTGGCGCTCACCACAGTGTGGTCACCCCGTCACCATGTAACGCTGTTACAATGTTATTGACTATATTCCCTCTGCTGTACTTTTCATCCCCGTGACTTACTCATTTTATAACTGGAGGTTTGCCCCCTTCCTCCCCTTCAGCTATGTCGCCCGCCCCCACCCCTACCTCCTCTGGCAATGAGCAGACCTCTTGGTACTTCTCTGTATTTAGGAGTTTGGTTTTGTTGTTGTTGTTCTTTTGTTCATTTGTTTTGTTTTTTAGGTTCCACATAGGAGTGAGATCATACAGTATTTGTCTTTGTCCATCTGCCTTATTTCCCTCGGCACAGTACTCTTAGGTCCGTCCATGTTGTTGTAAATGGAAAGATCTCATTCTTTTTCAGGGCCGAGTACTATTCCACTGTAGAGGCCACTTCTTTACCCATTCATCTGCGGGTGCACGCTTGGGCTGCTTTTGTATCTTGCCCGTTGTAAATAATGCCGCAGTGAACATAGGGGTGCACGTGTCTTTTCAAATTAGTGTTTTATTTTTCCTTTGGATAAATACCCAGTAGTGGGATTACTGGATCATACGGTAGTTCTATTCTTATTTTTTTGAGGACCCTCCACACTGCTTTCCGCAGCGGCCGCACCACTTCCCGCTCCCCCCACCCCCGCAGTGCGTGAGGAGCCCCTCTTCTCTGCGTCCTTGCCAGCATCTGTTGTTTCTTGTCTTTTTGACTTTAGCCATTCTGGCAGGTGTGAGGCGGTATCTCCTTGTGGTTTTGATTCATATTTCCCTAACTATGAGTGATATTGAGCATCTTTTTGTGTGTCTCTTGGCCATCAAAATGTCTGGGCTCTAAGTATTTTTACTGAGGTATGTTTAACGCACAGTGAAGGGCATACATCTTTCCTGGGAGGCGCAATGAAGTCTGACAGATGTGCAGACCCGTGCAACTCTCAGCCCACCACGAGCGAGAAGATATTCCGACACCCCAGAAAGCGCTCTCACGGTCCTTCCTAGTGAATCTCCATCACTACAAAACTGCTGTGATTTATATCCCCGTGGATTGTTTTGGCCTCTTCTAGAGTATAAACAGGATGGGAATCCTGTAGCGTGTACCTTGTGCTGACGTGTGGCCGGTGTTCTCAGCGTGTGTCTGCCGCATCTGTCGGAGACAGCGCATCCTCTCCGCTGTGTTTCTAGCACTCTGTTTCTCCTCTGTGGTGTCTTTAACTCACTCTTCATTCTCCAGCTTCTTCAGGGGGACACTTACCTACGGACTTCACATCCCGGCTGGGGTACTGCTCTGCCTGGTGCAGGCTGTCTCCAGTCCGGGCTTTTGGGGTGAAGCGTCTGGAGGGTTGTGGGTGGGTCCACGCGGGCCCTGAGCTCCGCCCTCTGCGGTGAGACCCAGTCTCACTGATGTCCTGGCTACACTTCCCTTTCGTCTGAAAGTCCAGTCTGGTCCCCGACCTCATTTTTGGGGTCTGTGGTTCAGTCCTTTCTCTCGTCCCCCCCGTTCCAGGTTGGGAATTGCCGGGGGTCTCCATGGCGGCTGCTGTGTTAAGGTGCACGTGCTTGTGTGTCTCGTTGTTGTTGTTTTTAAAATTTTTTTGAATGTTTATTTTGAGCGAGACAGACAGCATGAGCAGGGCAAGGGCTAAGAGAGAGGGAGACACAGAATCCGAAGCAGGTTCCAGGCTCTGAGCTGTCAGCACAGAGCCTCACACAAGGGTCGAACTCACAGACCGTGAGATCATGACCTGAGCCGGAAGTTGTATGCTTCACCGACTGAGCCTCCCTCCTCCCCCCGACCCTGCTCCCTGTTGTGTGTCTTGCTTTGTAGATAAAGGCTATTGTTAACCGGGACCTCGGGACCCAGAGCGCTACAAAAAATTGCCACAGTGTTAGCACAGGTCGGTCACAGAACGGGTTAGGCTGACTCTAGGTCACCTTGCCAACCTCAAGAAAATTTCCATACAGTGAGGTGCGCTGTGAAACTTGCGCAGTCCCCAACCTAGCAGCTCATCCCTCTTAGGTATTAGCTTGGCTCTGAGAAACCCCAAAGGCTTAGCTAAAAAAGAAAAAAGGAAAGAAGGAAAGAGCCCTGAGGAGTCAAGTGCGCCACCTTCTGCCACACCTGCTTGTTTCATGTCTAAGAACTACGGTCCCAGAGCTATAAGTATCTCCCAAAACGGCAAGATTTTAGTAAGACCAACCTAAAATTCCAATGGCCATTATGGAGAATGTTCACATTAGACAGGATCATTTATTTCAGAACTCGACTTGGAAACAAGGTTGCCCAAGATTAACGGACAGAACGGAATACTTGGTTTGATTATGATGCAGAAGCTTCCGAGAGCCTTGAGATTCCAGAAAGCTTCGTTTGAAGGCTCACTACAGAGAGCTAATGAGAACTGAAAGACACAGGTAGGTGCCTAAAACAAAAGGGCTCAGGTGACCCCTTCTGCTGGCTCCTTCCTCCTTGACCCGAGTCCTGATGCTTTGCTGACTCTGCAGACACAGCTACCTTTTAAAATAAGACTATTGAGGAGCGCCTGGGTGGCTCAGCCGGCTAAGGGTCCGCCTTCGGCTCAGGTCATGATCTCACAGCTCGTGGGTTCGAGTCCTGTGTCGGGCTCTGTGCTGACAGCTCAGAGCCTGGAGCCTGTCTTTGGATTCTGTCTCCCTCTCTCTCTGTCCCTCCCCTGCTCATGCTGCCTCTATCTCTCTCTCAAAAATGAAACATTAAAAAAATTTTCAAATAAGACCGTTGATGGTCTGGGAGCCCTCCTCCAAGTCACTCCTTGGTCAGAGGCCAAACTAAGGGCAGTAGCTAAAGAAATTCCTAAGCCCAGGAAGGGTCCCCAAAAATTTTTGGAAGAATTTAGAGTCATTACCAGGGGCTGTGACCCAGGCCACCAGATCCATGTCAGCCTGTGCTCTTGCTGGGGGGGCCCGGAGGGGGAAGGGGGCAGAAGTGAAAGCAGAGGCAGGACGGTGTCGCGCGAGGATGTTGTTTCAGAGCCTTAGTCTTCCACACGGTACCCGCATGGGCCACAGAAGCAGCGCTGACCGTCTCGTTCCTGGAGCCCCCGCGTCCCTCCAGGCCACACTCACTGGTCTGTTACTCAGACTCGCAAACGAAGACGATCTGTGCAGACTGTAAAGCCCGTCTGGAAGGCTCTTCCTACGCATCCCGGGTCCCAGACAACAGCCCAGGGCCCCCAGCGTGTTTTAGCTGCCCCACTTGTAGGCGGATTATCTCCTGAGATGAGTGCATTGATGAAAAGGCAGAAAATCGGATGCGAGGCCTCCTGCCTGCCTGAACTGAGACCAGAGCTGAGCACTTTGCAAGGACCTGGGAGCAAGACCGTAAACAGAGATGTGCCAAGGTGTTTGCCCGAGGGCGGCAGCGGCCCCGAGGTCAGGGACCCGAGGAGCACTGGGCCTCCCCGGCCCCCCGAGGCGTTGCTCCGGGGACTGATGTCTCCACTGTCCCCACAGGCGCCACGGGACTCGCCCACACAACCACGCGGTCCGTGCTGCCCCTGAGACAGATGCCCCCGCGCCCCCGGGCCTCTCGGGACTGACCGGGCTCCCGGGGTTCCCTGACCTCAGCACCCCCTCCAGCAGCTGAGGGAGGCTGAATTAAATGAGTGGGAAGGTTTGCCAAATTCGGGGAGATACCAGCGCTCCGGTCTTGCCTTCAAGCCCGTCCCCCAGGACAGCGAGTCCCTGGAGGAAGGTTTCCACAGCGAGGGCCTCCGGTCCCGCTCAGAGGGAGCTTCTGGCTCTGCCGGGGGCCTGTCTCCGGAAGACGCTCTTGTTTGCTGTGTGACACGGCCCCTGTCAACCTGTCCCCGGAGCCCTCCTTTCTAAATTCAGAGGGCTAATGGGTTTTGCCTCCACTGGAGACCTCGCCTTAGAATTTCCTGACCAACCCGAACCTTTCATGTTCTTTACAATCTGTCCTTGACATGGAAGAGGAGGAATTTCAACAAAAGTCCCTTAATTTAACTGCGGTGCGTGCAAGTCCGTGGGCCCCTCTCATGCCGACACTGGGAGAATGAAGAAGACAGAGCCTGGCAAGATTCAAACAGACAAAACTATGCTTCTTCCCAAATTGCCTCAATCCCCGCGAAACGCGAGGCCGCGCAAGGCCTCTCGCCGATGGCAGGGGGGACCCGGCCGCCCAGGGGCCCGTTGTCCCCGACCCAGCCCTGGGACAGGGCATCTTGCCCGCCCGCCCAGACACCTAAAGGGCAGGGCGGTGATTTGCCCGCGATCGAGGGCCGCTAACAAGACAGCCCGCTTCCCACTTGTTCCCAACCCGGACCGCAGACTCACAAGGGCTCAGTGTTCAAGATGGCGGACTGAGTTCAGCGTTTCCAGCATCGCTGTGGGCCCGGGGGCCGGTATCAGTCAACAATATACCTGGGCGGTTAGGCCTCGGGGCTTCGTGAGGCCCCGTCTCATTTCTGCCCCGTGGAGAGTGATCGGCCCCTGGTGCCCAGGAGATGGGGCCTCTGCAGAGTGGAGGGGACGCCTTGCTGTGCTCAGCTCCCAACCAGATGGTCACGGAGGATTCCATGCGCTCGCTCGAGGGACGTAAAGTCCCTAAAGAGAAATCACAAATACCTCTAGACACTGTTCACGACCGGGATCATAATCCAAGCGCTGAAGGACCCTCACTCTCCCCAGAAGGGATTACGCCAATCAGAGCATTTCCTAGGCTCATGACTAAGCTGCCGCTTGGCGGATGTGGAGGCCGGGCCGCCTGCTGTAGACGGCAGGCTCCTAGGTTTCCTCCATTGGCTTCCCCACTCTGTGAACTTACTAAACTCCAGTCCCTGAGCCCATTCCTTGGGGAGGTAAACTTGAGCAGCCTTTTCTAGGACTTAAGCAAGCTCCCCCCCGCCCCTCCCCAGGAACGACCTGCCTCAGGCCCACAGCACCATTCAAACCTTTTCCCTGGTTTGTGCCAGAAAGAGACGACCGAGCCCTGCTATTCTCTTGCCTTCCGAAATTGCCGTCACGAGCGCTGAGTCTCACACTAAAATCCGAGCCTCGGCAACGCCTGGCTGCCCTTCGTGCGAAAGCAGCGGCGGCAGAGTCTGTAAGGGTCGTGGCCCGAGTGGATGGAGTCCATTCTGCTCCTGCCAGAAATGACCCCTTGCCACCAGAATTTTGTCATTCTGAACTGTGGCAACAGTCCGCTCCTGACCCGAGAAATCACGACAGGCGAACAATAGTTTGCAAATTCAACAGTCGGGGCCGGGGAGCCCAGGACGGCCACCTGGCTCTTCCTGGCTGCCTGGAAAACCCCATTTTTGGGATTTTTACATTCCCTCCCCCACCGTGGTCCATTTAAGGACTCACATTGTGAGAAGACATTGGTGGTGGGAGGGAACTTCTAGAAAACTGCAGAAAGAGTCTACCATCCAGATGTGACCTATCAGGTCCAAGATCCCAGGGCGCCTCCTAACCCCTCCCTCTGGACTGAGGCTGGACTGCATCCACCGTCACTTAGCACAGGTTCTCGATGAGTCCTTGTTATTGGCTGTGCGTTTCCGGGACGGGTTGAAGGCTTTCCCTGCCTCAAGGCCGATGCCCTCACAGTGGCAAAGAAACTGTTGGAAACTGTGTTTCCCACTTGGGGAGTGTACCTTCCACCGTCTCCAGGGACACAGGCACCCACTTCACTGGGTCACTTGATGACAATCCGGCCATCTTGAAACTATCCTGCTTATGATGATCACAGCCGAGACCCTGGTGTGCTGTTCTCTCAAAGGCCTTGAATGTGTGTTCACAGCCACTGCTCACCAAGCCACCAACCTCCCCAGGACTGGAACACCAGACGCGAAGACAAGGACAGCCACAAACTCCAAGACTGTGAGCCCGCAATCATGGCCCTTCACCATCACGGAGGCTTCACAAGAATGCCATGACCTGTGAGTGTCACACAGGATGGACAGAAGCAGCGAGGGCCTCAGACAGGTGGCGGGTGTGGTGTGACGGCCTGGGATTCTGACCACATCTCTCATTAAGCTGTGAGTCTGATCAGAAGGGGCCGCTGTTAAAAAAGAGACAAGGGGCTGCAAGTGGAGTCCCTTGTGCTAAGCCCACGTCACCAAATCAAGGCTCAGTAGCTAACCTGGCTGCAGTTTCTGCCCCCCACACCCAGGCTTCACTGGTCAGTCTGGGGTCTCCCGGTCAGCGGTGGTGAGGTAAGCTGCCTGATAGGTGCGCCCCTGCCCCCTCAGGCCCCAGGAAACATGACGTGACCTCCTCTTTCCTTCTCTTTGCTGGACGGGATGCTGATGGATTCATGACTCATTGAGTAAAGCCAACTAGATCTCTACAGTTACTGAAAAAATATATATATTTTTAAATAACGGTAAGGCTTGAAATCAGGTAGTGTGATTCTCACAACTTTCTCCATTTTTCAAGATTGTTTTGGCTATTCCAGGTCCTTTGAATTTTCCGTATAAAATTTTAATTTATAGATTACATTCAATTCTACAGTCCAGTCTGTAGTTTGATTGGCATTGCACTGAATCTATCAATCAATTTTCAGAGAATTGACATCTTAACAATATTGAATCTTCTTACCTGTGAACTTCACACACATGTGTAGGTTTTATTTAATTTCTTTCCACAACATTTTGGGAAGACCTTGCACACATTTTGCTAAAATTTTCTTTGAGTCTTTTATGTTTTTAATGTTGTCATGTCATTTCTTTAAACTTTATTTTCCAGTTGTTTGTTGCTAGTACCTAAACTTTCTGTAGATTTTTGTGTATTGATCTTGCATTCTGAGATCTTGCTAATTTCTACTAGTAATTAATAGTCTAGTATGTCTTAAGCTTCCATAAGGTTTTCTGTACATGCAATCACATTGCCTGCAAAGGATAGTTTTACTTTTTCCACTGCAACCTGTGTGTCTTTTCCCGTCTTTTCTGACCTCCTGGTGATGGCTAGAGACTTCAGAAAAATGTTGACCGGAAGTGCAGGTAGTGGGAACTTTGCCCTATTTCTGATGTCAGTGGGAAAGTGCCCAGTGGCCATCAGTATGTATAGGTCGTAGATTGTCCATGGATGTCAGTTTCCTCCTCCTCCTCCTTCCTTGGGGGCCATTATCACTGTGATACTGTGACTTGTAATAAGATATGTATCTGCTCTTCATCCCGTTTCTGGAAGAGCCCCTGAAACCCTTGGGGTTTCTTCAGTGATAGGAAAGCTACAGAAAGGTGTCTTTCGTTTTCACAGAAACCTCTTGCGCCACGCCCGAGTTTATGCTGATGTGGTGACTTCTGGAGAGCCCCTGGATAACCACAAAAGGGGGGCTGGTGGCCATGGGGGCCAACCTGGATTAGAGGGTGAACTTTCAGTCCCCCCCCTCCCCCAGGGAGGAGAGAGGGGCTGCAAACGGATTCCATTACCAATGGCTTCCTCAGTTGTGCCTAATACTGAAGGCTCCAAGAGCTTCTGGCTTAGTGCCCGAGTGGGGAGAGTGGCACGTCCAGGGAGAGCATGGAAGCTTTGCACCCCTTCCCCACCTTGCCTTCTACATCTCTTCCATCAGGCTGCTCCCCAATTATATGCTTTCTTAATAAACCGGTGATCTAGTGAGTAAAATGTTTTCCTGATTTCCATGAGCCACTCTAGCAACTTAACTGAACCCGGGAAGGGGGTCGTGGGGACCTCCAGTCTATAGCTGGTGGGTCAGAAGCACGGGTGACAAGCTGGGCTTGCATTTGGCATCTGAAGTGAAGGAAATCGAGTGGGACAGAGCCCTCAGCCTGGTGGGGGGGGGGGGTGGCTCCTGCCACCTCTCGATAATGTCAGAGTTGAGTTGAATTGCAGGACACCATCCGGCGTCCACTTAGAACGGGAGAACCACTTGGTGTTGTTGGGAAACATATATCGAATCCCAGGTAGATGTTACCTTTTGTCAAATGCTTTTGCTTCATGGAGATGACCATGATTTCCACACTTTATTCTGTTGGTTGTTGAATTGTACTTACTGCTGCACAAAGGTGAAACTGGCCTCATGTTCCTGGGACAAACCCGCTTCATCACGGTGTGTTATCTTTCTTGTATGTTCCTGAATTCTTTTTGTGGATATTTTATCAAAGTGTTTTGACTTTATCTTCATGAAAGGTACTGGTCTACAGCTTTCCTGTAACGTCTGTGACTGGCTTTGATGCCAGGTTTGTGTTGGCCTCTGCAAACGATTGGGATGTGTTCCTTCTGCCCCTATTTTCCCCTATACAAAAACATTTGCATAGAATTGAAAGTATTTATTCCTTAACTACGCGATGAAATAAGCCAGTGAAGTATCTGGGAGCGGAGTTTTCTGTGTGAGAAGGTTTATAATTATGATTCCAATTTCTGAATATAAGACCACTCAGATTTTCTGTTGTTTGTTCTTGTGCTAGTTTGGTAGCTTGTGTTTTTCAGGGAATTTGTCGATTCAATCTAAATTGGTTAATTTATTGGGATCATATTTTGTGATTACTGGTCCATGTCTAGAGAATGTATGATATTTCTTCTGTTCTCAGAGTGGTATTTTGTGTTTTTGATTTTTTTTTTTTTTTTGGGTCAAAGAGCTCGTCATTTTATCAATTGCTTACTTTTGAGTTTATTTGGTTTATTGAGTTTATTGTTTGTTCCTTTAAATTTTTTCTTTGATTTGTACTCTAGATTTTATTCTTTCTTTCTTTCTCCTTACTTTGGATTTCATTTGTACTTATTTTGATAGCTTTTTATTTTTAATTTTAATTTTAATTAATTAATTTTTAATTTTTATTTTTAATTAATTAATTAATTTTTTAAAGTTTATTTTGAGAGAGAAAGAGAAAGAGAGAGAGAGAGAGAGAGAGAGCGCACACAGCTGGAGAGGGGCTGAGAGAGAAGGTGAGAGAGAATCCCAACAGGCTCCGTGCTGTCAGCACAGAGCCCTACAGTGGGCTTGATCTCATGAACAGTGAGATCATGACATGAGCCGAAATCAAGAGTTGGACGCTTAACCTATTGAGCCACCCAGGTGCCCCATTAGCTTTTTAGCGAATAGATTTTATACCTTTCTTTTCTAATTTAGGCACTAACAACATAAACCTCCTTCTGAGGTTGCTTTCTGTTGAGCCCCACAAATGTTCATATGCTGTGTTTTCATGATCGTTCTGTTCAAAATCTTTCCTACTCTCTCTTGTGACTTCTTCTCTGACCCATGGCTTATTTAGAAATGTATCTTCTCATTTCCAAATTTTTGGAATTTTTCCAGATACATTTTTGCCATTGATCTCTCATTTACATTCTGGTCAGAGAATGTTCTCTGTTTGATTTCAGTCTTTTTAAATTTATTGAAACTTGATATATGGTGAACGATCTATCTTGGTGAACGTTCTATTTATGTTTGAAAGAAATGTCAATTAGATCAATTTGGTTAATTATGTTGCTCAAGACTTCTCTCTCCTTAGTGATTTCCTGTCGTATTTCTCTATTAATTACTAGTATTGCTGCTGCCGCTGCTGGTATTATTTCTGCGAGATGACGTCTGTGACAACTGTCCCGCTGCTACTGTCATCACTAACCGAACACATTAACTACGTTGAATAAGGGCCACCCTCATGTCGGGCACTGTGATGGCGCTCCGTGTGGGTTACAGCCTGTAGTCCTCACAGCAAACCTTTGAGCCAGGTACTTTTATCCCCAGTGGACAGACGAGGGGACTAAGGGACGAGGCAAAGTAGGCCGCCCAGGTCACACATATGTGGTTGGTTGACTCTAGACTTGAACCCAGGGCCCCACGTCCCTTCTCCAGCCCCAGGAGCCCCTCATGTTGGGGGGGCGGTGTTCAGAGGGGCCCGCATTACACCGCTCCCTGGCTGGGGCGCCTCTGTCCACTCCAGCCTGCTTCCTCCCGCCCTTGTCTGAGATCTGGTCTCTGTGCCCTCTCGGGGGCCCATGAACCCAGCACCCAGAATGGGGAGGAAGGGCCCTGTCTGGTTGGACACCTGCTCTGCACGAGACATCTAAAGACGGAAGTTGACCTCCCAGCTCCCCCAGCGGCCAGCCCCATGAATCACTTCCCTCTAAGCTGGTTTGTGCATCTGTGACAGAGGGGCTTCTCCATCCCCTTCCCCGGGGAGGCAGCTGACCCGCTCCCCCGTTGCCCTCATCATCCCCCAGAAGGCCCCAGCGGCCGGGCTCCCCCCTACCTTGGCCAGCTGCTCTTCCCAGCATGCCTTCTCTCCCTTGTGGAAGATGGACTCTGCGGGAGAGAAGGGCCACGTCACTGGAGGCCACGTCTGAAGTCCTCACTGGGGCTGGAACTTGGGCTCCTTTGCCCCTATTCTTCAAACACGGGACTGAGGCCGAGTGACACTGCCCTGCCTCTGCTGGTCCTGGCTTCGTGCAGGGCGAGGGACTGGGCTTGGACCCAGGGTCTGGAGAGCTGGGCTGGACTTGCCGCCCTGCTGCCCTGGCCATGTGACCTCAGGTTGGCCATGTTGCCTTTTGGGGCCCCCGGCTCACCGATGGTGAATGGAGGGGTCCCTCCGGGCATAGCCATTTGGAATGTGCTAGAATCCCCTTGAGGGTGGGAAAACATAGCCTGGAGAGGGGTGCATTGTGGGGATGGAAAGCTTTTACAGAACTTTGGAAACTCAGCCTCGGAGGGACGGCTGCTTTGGGGGTGGCCTGGGGGTCTCAGAGCAGCCGTGTGCTCTGCTCACACTTGTGAGTGGACAAGCGTGCCTGAATGAAGGCAGGCGTTTGCCTCCCTCAGGGGCTGCGAGCTCTTGAGGGCGGGGGGCCGGGCACCGGGCAGGGGTCCAGACCCCTCCTTCTAGGTCCTCCCCCAGGCCCTCACAGGCCCCACTGCTCGAGGCAGCCCTTCCCACAACTCAGAGCCAATGGCTGCTGTTGACGCCCTGGGACCTGGACATCACAGGCCTGTGACACGCTGTTGGGGGGCTCCGGGCCCCCCATGCTGCCTCTGTGAGCTCGCTTCCTCGTCTGCTAGTGAGCAGGGCACCCGCCTGCCTCGGTGACGGAGGACCAGCACCCTGTGGCAGTGCTGGCCTCACGCCCACCCTGGGCCACCTCCCGGAGCCTCCTCGCTCCGTCCTGCTTCTGTCCAGGCCATTGTAGAAACGCTAACGGCGGGAACGTGGGCCAGGGGGGACCAGGCAGCTGGCTGGCTGTGGGTCCTGATGCAGCGGGGCTGGCATGGGGAGGGGGCTGCGGGGCGTGGGGGCCACGGCCCTTTCCTCTGGCACAGACATGCTCTGCTGTTGTGCAGCCGACGCCCGGCCCTGTGTGCATCCCGCAGACCAACAGTCTTGCCGAACCCCCATCTGGATCTTTCTCTGTGACGTGCCCCACCGCCACCCCTGGGGACCTGGGGGCAGAAGGTGGCCAAGGCGCGGCAGGGGGTGCCTCGGGCCCCTAGAGCAGGACATACCGTTGGAGGTCATGATGCCCATCACGTAGAGCAGGCTGCGGTGCGGGAAGACGCCCGTCAGGACCTCGGTCTCCAGGTGCTGGGCCACCGCCCGCCACGAGTGCCGACAGACGGCCAGCAGCACGTCGCTGGCCGCGTCCTGGTACGCCTCTTCCAGCTCCTGGGGGCAGGGGGCCAAGGAGGCGGAGTGGGCCCCTGGACAAAGCTTTGGCTTTTCATACCCGTGTCTGGCTTGGTAGGTGGGGCCGCTGAGGTCAACCCCGATTCTGGATAGAAAACAGGCCGAGGTAGCCCTGTACACACCCCGGCCTCTGTCCCAGGGCTGGGACCCTCGCACCCCGGGGCCTGGGATAGTTCCAGAAGCCGGCCGTGCTTCCTGCCTCTGAGCCTGGAGCACTGTTACTGCCCACCTTGTCCATCCAGATCTAGTCCAGTTTTAGAGTTCGCCCCGAGGCCCTGTGTCCTGCAGGCTCCCGGCACCGGTCACCTCTGGACAGTGTCACAGCCTTTGATTCTCCATCAGGGTGAATTCAGAGCCACCGTCTCTGTGTCTCAGGCCTGAGGGCGTGGGGTCAGCTGCTCGGGGCAGAGGCCCAGCTGGGGGTCTAGTGGAGGGGTGGCCGGGCACGGGGGGGGGGGGACACGTGCCATTCTGTGTCACTACACCGGGGCTTTTCTCAACAAAGTTCCCGTATTTCTTTTGATGTGGCTCTAATTTTGGGCTCCTCTTGTCTCCAGACTTTAGTGAGAGCCGTCAGGTGATGTCTGCGGCTGCTGGCGTGAGAGGTGCTGTCGCCGGGCAGCAGGCCAGGGCCTGCCCTGCACGCAGGGGCACCTGACAGTGAGGGGCGCCAGTCCCGCCCTGCGACGCCGTCTGAATCACCACCGGAGGCATTCTGTCATTCATGATTAACTGAAAGCAAACCCTCACTAAGATGGTGGATTGAAACTGCTTTTGCTCTTTCAAAAATAATACCTCAACTAAACTACATTTAGGAGATTTTTTAAGTTTCCTTATTTATTTTGAGAGAGAGAGTGCATGAGGTCAAGCGGGGGCGGGGCGGAGACACAGGGCGGATCTCACGAACTGGGAGAGCATGACCTGAGCCGAAGTCTAGAGTCAGACGCTTCACCCACAGAGACACCTGGGCGCCCCCAGTGTTTTAAGAAGTTCAACAGCGTCCACGCTCTGGGAGCCGGAGAGCAAACGAGGGACAGTGACCTGGGGATCACTAGGCGGCAGCCTTAGTGCCGCCCGGTCAGGCCCGCCCACGACTCCAGGGGCACGTCTGCCAGACCTCTGCACCCAGGGGGCGGGGGAGGGTGCAGTGGTCCAAGGAGCCAGGTGCCCAGATGCTGCACCCACTCCACACCCAGAGGCTGGGTCTCCAGCTGGGGCGGGCGCGGGCCTGTGGCAGGAGGCCGGGCCCTCCACGGCGCTGCCCCTGGGCCTCACACCTCCGGGCCGAGCACCGTTAGAGTCTTCTCTGGGGTCGCTGGGCAGCCCAGGACGAAAGCCGTAGAGGTGCTGGCATGGGTGCTGGGCAGCCGTGGGCTCACTGTGGACCCCAGATCCTGTCACCCGCCCGTGCGTTCAGAGCCCCCTATCGACGCTAACCATGGACAGACAGCGACGCTGGAGATCAGAACCACCACACGCCCCACAGAACCCAGAACACGGCCACTGGGAGGCAATACAGGCCAGAGAGGTGAGAACTTCAAGCAAAGCTGTCTTTTCAATATCCTGAGAGATAAAAGCAGGTATTGTGTCCACGATAAAACAGCATGATACACATATGAACATTCTGGGCACAAAATCAAGATTGTGGGACAGTGGAATGCACGGGCAGGGCTGGGAGCTCCACAGACAGCGGGTCCTCAGAGAGCAGAACGGAGGACAGAGCTGGTAGAAGAGAGGCCCGGCGAGGGTCCTGGGGCGCACTGAGCACCCCGCACCTGAGCGTCCCTGAGCCTCGGGCAGGGAAACGAGGGGACGATACTGTCAGTGAAATAACTGAACTTTTCTGGAAGCAAAGGTCTGAAGACAGTCAGACTGTGGGAGGCCGCGCCGGAGCGCAGGGTGGCTAACGACAGACCCTGGGGAACCGCGGGGCCCACCAGCAGAGGGGCTGTGCACAGGTAACGGTCTAATGTCCACAGTGACTTTGGAGTCACTACAGTGGCACCAGTGGCGGGAGGACACGGGACGCTGCTGCCAACATGTCAATGGTCTTGTCGAACAGGAAGGAAGTGAGTGGCGGAGCAAACCAGCAGTTTATTCGGGGTCTTCAGGGATTCCAACCTGGGAGACACTGATTCAGGAGGTCACGGAGATGCGCTTGGGGCTCGAGAAAGAGCTTAAGAGGCCCAGACCCGCAGGCTTCTAGAAGCTGTTTTGAAGAATTATGATCACTGTAGGAAAAATAATGTTCTACATGCGACAGGTCACTGTGCTGTTCCCGGGTCGGAGTTCAGCAAAATAAGCCTCAGTCTGGGAAAAAGGCAACACGATGTGGCCATTGCATTGGTGGTCGGGCATGGCCCGAAGGTCACACTTGTCCAGGTGTGGATGTGCATCAGACCAACCTCCCCGGTGGCCTCTGCCTCCACCCTGACCTTCCTGACTCCATTTCCGATGTTTCTGTTCAGGGTCTCCAAGGCAGAGTCCAGGGGGAACAGGAGAGAGAGATTTCCAGGAACACGTGGTCTCAAACTGTGCTTCCCAAACATGCTTTCTCAGGAAGCTGCTGGAGGATGTGTGTCTTCAAAGCGAGAGGTCAAGCCGGGAAGGAGGGTCCCGGAGACACCGTTCCCTGCGGCGATGGGCTACGGGGGTCCCAGACTGGGCTTTGGACACCCAGATGGGCTCGGCTGGCCGGACCTGGGTGATGACGTGCATGAGCTCCTCCGTGAGGCCTAGACCGGCTCCCGGCGCCTACAGAGGGTCCACACTGGCCCGCCCTGGAGAGCTGGCAGTGGGCCGCGGTGTGTATAGAAGCAGGAGGTGGGCCTGGCTCAGAGGCGCTCATGTCCACCCCCGGGGAGGCTGTGCCAGGCCGCCACCCAGACACTGGCGGGCTCTGCGTGTCCTACAGCCTCACCGCTGCCTTCCCCCACTCTATTCTTCCTGGTTTCTAAACTATTCACAGGTGACATGCTTCCCACGATGGCTTAAATTAAAAAAAAAAAAGATCATGGGGACCTCTGGGTGGCTCAGCGGGTTAAGCATCTGACTTTGACTCAGATCATGATTTCATAGCTCGTGAGTTCGAGTCCCCTGACAGCTCAGAGCCTGGAAGCTGCCTGAGATTCGCGTCTTCCTCTCTGCCCCTTGCCCCCTCACGCTCTGTCTCTCTCTCTCAAACATAAATACATGTTAAAAAATTTTAATAAGGAATTTGGAATCTAAATTTAGAATTAAAATTCTTTGGGGAAGAGGATGAATACAGTGGTTCTGAACTTTGCTCCCTGCTTGTCTGCATCCGTACCAGGAGGGAAGACTTTGTGGGGAGCCTGAAGATGGCCACTTACCATCTTTTAAACTGCCCAAGCCTCAGTCCCTCCGTCTGTAAACGGGGGTTGCAGATATCTGGTGGGAGGGTTAAATTATACTTTTTCCTGCCCCGCGGAGCGCCGAGGCTTGGAACACGGCTAGCCCACCATGGGGACCCTGGGCTGTTTTGAGAGCCAGCAGCCCTCAAGTGTCTGGAGCTGAAGCCAGCTGAGGCCATGGGCAGGCCTGGGCCAGGTCCCTGGACATCATCCTGGGGTGGGCACGATACCCACCAAACCTGTAAGTGTCTGCCAGGCAGGACTCGGGAGGCGGCCACAGAGGCTGCGTTAAGCCTGGAGCACAGGTGCGACCCGCAGGAGGCCTTCCAGAGTCTGGGTGTGGGGGCAGCCATGGAATCGTAAAACTGGCGGTGGAAGAGGGACCCAGAGCCCACTTCAGGGTGGGGGCTTCCAGGAAGGGGTGCTGAGGGGTAGCTGACATTTGGTTCTTCCATTTATAGGCCCTGTTGACTCAGACAAGCAATTAGCTCCCCGAATCTCACTTTTCTCAACTGTAAAATGGGTGCCAGAGTTTGTCCCTCTGAAGGGACTTGTGGTAAGGAAATGAAAATGGACAGAAATCACTTAATCAACCATGGAGCTGGGCACCCCGGCATTATTCGGGTGCCAGGGCGGCAGCCCGCATTCCCAGCAGTGGCCTATTTGCGGGGATGGGAGGCCCACCGTGGACTTGGTCATGTTCTCCAGGGCCAGCTGCATGAGTGTCTTCTCCCAGGCCTCCTCCAGGTGGTTGCTGGCTCTGATGACTGCTTCCAGGACCTGGAGCAGCCGGAACTTGTGCCGGGAGGAGATCTGTGGGTGGCAGAGTGGGCAGAGGCTCAGGGCCAAATTGGGTTCAGTCACATGGGGAGTGGTCACCAGTGAAAGCCTGGGCATGGGGAGGTTGCTGAGGGGGCTGAGGAGGCCAGAAGGGGAGGGTCACAGTGGATGCATTTGGCCATTCATCCAATAACCATTTAGTGAGCACACACTATAGGAGGCCCTGAGCTAGCTTCTGCAGAAACAGGCACTTAAAAGTTTGTCTCTATCCTCAAGAATAGCTATGGTATTTTAAAAGCATTCCACCTCTGAAGTCAGTTCATTCATTCATTTGTTAAAATTCAATCAGATCTTCTACCTAATTATCCATCCATCTATCTACCAACTACCAACCCATCCACCCATCCATCTACCCATCCATCCATCTGTCCATCCATCCACCCATCCATCCATCTGTCCATCCATCCACCCATCCATCTACATATCCATCCATCCATCCATTATCTATCCATCCATCCATCTATCCATCCACCCTACCATCCATTATCCATCCATCTACCCATCCATCCATCCATCCATCCATCTCTGCCACTTAATCTCTCGGTAACTTTAGGCAAATCATTTCCCTTTCCTAAGCCCGTTTCCTCATCTATGGGGATCATAATATCTATATCATGAGACTATTCTGAGGGTGGTTGACACATGTCAGTCCACATTCTTTCCTCACTGCTTAGCCCATTAGACATATGAGGAGACTGACTTGCCCTAAATCATGTAGCTGTACCACAGAGCCACCATTTGAACCTGCCTTTGGGTCCAGCCCTCCCTCTGCTTCCATGCATTCCCTCCAATGGCTCAAGCAGCTCCCACCTCTGGGTTGTTTACAAAGTAGTCATGGATGGTTTCCAGCACCAGGTTGGGGGCCTTGTGAGCCATGCTCTTGATCTTCTTGGTGATGTGCTTCAGGTGGACAGGGTCTGAACCATTCAGGTCCTGGAGCATCTTGAAGCAAATGGCTAAAGGAGATGAAAAAAAGGTGTGAGGGTGGATGGGCTGTGGGAAGGTTACACTGTGCCAGCAGGGATGGGGAGGCAGGGAAAGGGTAGCGCTGGGAATGGGAAAGAGTGATCTGAAAATGAAGACTGAAGAACTGAACATATTGGAGGTTCCTGGGCCTCCTGACTGTCCAAACAGTCCTCCTGGAGTTTGAGACAGGATAAGAAGCAGATTGCATGCAGGTTTTCACATCCTTATACACCCATGCATATTTCCATCCATTCATTGAATCAACCACTTTTTTATCCATCTACTTATCCATTCATCTATCATCTACGTATCCATAGATATTCATCTGTCCATCCACCCACACATTCATCCATATGGGCAAATAGTTGCCCATTAATTCATCCACCTGTCTGTCCATCTTTATGCTCACCTACCAGTCCATGCATTAGTAAACGTATCCATCCATCCGTCACCCATCTGCTCACAAATTCATCTATCCACCTTTCTATCCACTCATCCATTCATAAGTTTATCCGTCCATCCCCATCACCCATCCACTCATATTAGCCATCCATCCCTCCACTCCTCCATCTAGTCATCCCTTCACTCCCTCAACCTCCATGTAGTCTTCAGCATTCAATGTTGTTCACTGTGTGGTCACAGAACTGTGTGGGGGCTCAAAGGAGAGTCAGGGCCCAGCTCGGTTCTGAAGGAGCCCCTAGCCTGTGGGAGCCCTACTCGGTGTCCGTGGACTCTGGTTCTGTTGTTGTGTAGAAGGCCGTGGGCACACAGAGAGGGGAGGGATTTAATACATGCCAACAAAGATGGAGGGCATTCAGGACTGGCCCCTTGGAGGAGGTGGCAATTTAACTTTGCCTAGAATGATGAAGTCATGTCATCCTTTGAATGAAGGGAAAAGCATTCCTGTGAGATGGCCAGGCCTAGGCTGAGGTCCCAAGGTATGAAACGGTATGGGAGGAAAATGGAAGGTGAGGTGTGAGGGGGAAAGTTTTGGGCTTAGGACGGTGCTTCAGGAGGCATGAAGAGGCCAAGGAGGGCGTGTAGAGCTCTCTGCTGAAAGTCTCACTATCTCCCCAAGGCCCTTGACGTCCCCAAGATCCCAGGCGGTGGATTCCCTCTGGCCCTCATTCCCAGGACATTTTTGGCACGGGGACATGATGGGGTCTACTGGAGCCTGACCACCCCATTTCTGCCTGCTTGAGTCCCAGGGTTGGTGATCACCTGCGTTGTAGGCTTCTTCCATGAACACCTTGTGCTCCTTGGGCCTCATGGCAGCCTGGCTGCTCTGTGACTTGCAGAGCATGATGGTGGTGGGGTGTCTCTTCTGTCTGTCCCTGTGGTCAGGGTCCTGAAGTACCTTCAGGTGAGTCAAGTCCTTCATGGATTCAGAGACGTGGCAGGACGTTCTGAGAAGGAAAAGAGGTCCAGGATGCAGGTGGGCAGCCTCACGAGCGTTCATGAAGGCAAGCCCGGCAGATGCCGAGAACCACGCTGGCCGGGATCAGGCTTGGCAACGTCCTTGCATGTGTCTACCTTCTGCTCAATGGATTGGCTGGGCCCTGGGAGTATGGAAGGGGCCCGGAGGCCTCAGGGAGCGTTTCCCGTGGGCCTGGAGAGGCCTGACTTCCCAGCAAGTGCTGGTGACAAGCGTGGCTGACGAGACCCGGAGGGCTCTGGGCGTGGCGTCCCCAACTCTAGCTCTTGCACTGGCTTGGATGAGCCCGTCTTTTCAGGACCACACACAGGACTGCCCTGGCTACCCCATGTCACTGAGGGGGTCCTCGGTGGGGGCCCAGGAGCTGCACGACAGGTGGGGGCAGGGGCCATGAAGATGGGTGCGCTGGGCGACACCACCTGTGCCCCAGACCCCTCCACCTGGTGCTTGAGAACAAGTATGTTTGCATGACAGAGATACTGAGAAGAAACAAGGAAGCACATCGGCCCCTGGAGGCTGCTTCCTTCCTACTTCCTCTTCCTTTTCTCACCTTTTGCAAATGTGGGACAGGATTCCCTCAGACTGTGCTCGTTGCCAGAGGGGCCAAAAAAGGAGGGATGCTTCATTTTGGGGCTGGTGGCCAAGTTGTTTGTCTCACAACTTCCTCTTGGAGCCTCGTGGCAGGAGTGGGTGTCTGCTCTACCTGCTCTGGGACCCCATTTCTTTTTTTTTTTATTTTTATTTTTTAATGTTTTACTTATTTCTAGGAGAGAGAGTGAGACAGCGTGAGCAGGGGAGGGTCAGAGAGAGAGGGAGTCACAGACTGAAAGAGGCTCCAGGCTCTGAGCTGGCAGTCAGCACAGAGCCCGACGCGGGGCTCGAACCCACGAACCGCGAGATCATGACCTAAGTGAAAGTCAGATGCTTAACCGACTAAGCCACCCAGGAGCCCCTCTGGGACCCCATTTCTTGATCACTCTCAGTTCCTGGTTCCCAAATACTGACCACGGGCAAGGAATGTTCTTTCTACTCACTAAGGATGTAACAGTGAGCAAGACAGCAAGCTGTCAACAAATTCAATAGGTACATTAGATGGTATATTAGAAGGTGGTTCGTCTATTAACATTTATACATTAATTTATTCTACTGTGTGAGAAATGTAGGTCAGATCATATCACTCAAAACCCTCTGTGGTTCCCCACTGGACTCAGCAAAAAGCTCAAAGTCCTCAAGATGGTAAAGACAACACCAGTATTTTGCTTCAAGATGGAGCAACCGGGACCAGATTCCCCCTCCTGCCTTAAACAACTCAAAAATTGGAAAAAATAGACAAACCCGCTAATATCAGACATTAGGCAACAAGAAGTGGAAGACAAGGGTCCCAGAGAGACGGCAGCCCTGCAGGGTCAGCTCCAAATCGCCACAATGTGCTGCCTGTGCAGTGCAGGATGGGGGAACCCAGAAAGCTCAGTGGGTCCCTCAAGTGAAGGAAAAGGAGGTGGACGTTTGGGGAGGCCAAAGTGGCTTGTGTTTGCAGGGAAGAGTAATAGGAGAAGGCTGCCCAGTGAGAGAAAACGACCACTCAGGTTTGAAGACCTCCCCCGCACCCCCCACCCGGCCAAGTCCTCCTCTGATGGTAATCAGCGCATGTGGGAAAAGGGCCACCCATGAGGAGCCGCGGAAACAATCTTCAGAGCTCACACAGGCTGAGAATAATCCCTTCGTTTTAGCAGCCAGACTGGAAGACTTCGTAATACACAGGGCATTGGGCAGAGTACTCTGAACGGTATTATCTTGGTCTTGAGGGAAAAAAACGGACATCCTTAGACAGGAATGCTTTGGTGCTGCCTAACAAAGCTTAAAAGCAAGCCTCAAAAATACCAAATTGTTTTTAAATTAATTGTGTTCTAGAACAAAACTCAGGAATATTTGAAAAGTACAGAAATATCTAGCACCCAACAAGGTAAAGTTTACAATGCCTGGTATTGAATAAGAAACTACCAGGCATGCATGGCAGCAAGAAAGTTGACCCCTAAGTAGGAGAAAGAAAATTGACTTACCAAAAGCAACACAGAAATGACACAAGTGATAGAATTAATAGACAAAGACATTAAACGTTATTATAACAATATTACACATGTTCCACATGGTAGATTAAAACATAAGCATGCTACGGAGAGATATGGAAAACATAAACAAGATGAAGAATACAACGTTTGAAGTTAAGAATTTAGTGGATGAAGCTTCTGCACAGCCAAGGAAACAACCCAGAAAATTAATAGGCAACCAACGGAATGGGAAAAGATAGTTGCAAATGACATATCAGATAAAGGGTTAATATCCAGAATCTATAAGGAACTCACCAAACTACACGCCTGAAAAACAAACAACCCAGTGAAGAAATGGGCAGAAGACATGAACAGACACTTCTCCAAAGAGGACATCCAGATGGCCAACAGACACATGAAACGATGCTCAGCATCCCTCCTCATCAGGGAAATACACATCAAAACCACACTGAGATACCACCTCACGCCAGTCAGAGTGGCTAAAATGAGCAAATCAGAGAACTCTAGATGCTGGCGAGGATGTGGAGAAACGGGCACCCTCCTACACTGTTGGTGGGAATGTAAACTGGTGCAGCCCCTCTGGAAAACAGTGTGGAGGTTCCTCAGGAAACTAACAATAGAACTCCCTTATGACCCAGCAATAGCACTGCTAGGAATTTACCCAAGGGATACAGAAATGCTGATGCATAGGGCACATGTACCCCAATGTTCATAGCAGCACTCTCCACAATAGCTAAAACAGGGAAAGAGCCTAAGTGTCCATCAACAGATGAATGGATCAAGAAGATGTGGCTTATCTATACCATGGAATACTACATGGCAATGAGAAACAATGAAATCTGGCCATGTGTAGCAACATGGATGGACCTTGAGGGTGTTATGCTGAGCGAAATAAGTCAGGCAGAGAAGGACAAATATCATATGTTTGCACGTATAGGAGGATTAGGAGGAACTTGACGGAGGATCAAGGGGGAGAAGAAGGGCGGAAATGGTGGGGGAAAAGGAGAGAGGCAAACCATGAGAGACTCTTGAATTCTGACAAAAACTGAGGACTGATGGATCTGGGAGGGAGGGGGGATGGGCATGGAGGAGGGCACTTTGGGGATGAGCACTGAGTGTTATGTGGAAAATAATTTGACAATAAACTATTTGTAAAAAAAAAAAAAAGAATATAGTGGATGAGTTTAATAGCAAATTAGACATAGCAGGAGCAAAGATTAGTGAACTTGAAGACACTACAGCAGAAACTATCTACAAATGAAACAGAAATAGAAAAAAGACTGGAAAAAATGGAACAGAGCATCATTGAGTTGTAGAGCAACCTCAAAATCCACAGTGTGTGTGTAACGTGAACCCTCATAGGAGAAGAAAGGGAGACAGAAAACAATATTTGAAGAAATAATATCTGAAGTTTCCAAATTAATAAAAACCAAAAATCCCACAGGTCCAGGAAATGTAATGAACCTCAACTGAAACAAACATAAAGAAAACCAAACCAAATGGCAATGAAATAAAATTGCCTAAAACCAATGCCAAGAGAAAATCTTAACAAAGAAAGCCAGAGATAAAGGACACATCATATGCAAAAGTATAAAGATAAGAGCAAGGGTACAGTTCTAGTCAAAAACAGTGCAAGCCAGGAGACATGAAGCAACATTTTATTTATTTTTTATTTAAAAAATATTTTAAAAAATGTTTTATTTATTTCTGAGAGAGAGAGAGAGACAGTGTGAGCAGGGGAGGCTCAGAGAGAGAGGAAGATACAGAATCTGAAACAGGCTCCAGGCTCTGAGCTGGCAGTCAGCACAGAGCCCAACGTGGGGCTCGAACCCACGAACCGTGAGATCATGACCTGGCTGAAGTCGGACGCTCAACCGACTGAACCACCCAGGTGCCCCAACATGAAACAACATTTTAAAGCACTAAGAGAAAAAAACCTGGCAAGCTAGTCAGAGAAAACCATTTTAACAACGGATGGTAAAACCAAGCCTTTATCATATGCACTGAAGCTGAAAGAATTTATACCCAGCAGACCTGTGCCTTAAGTAATGTTTGGGGAAGTCTTTCAGACAGAAGGAAAATTATACCAGATGGAAATATGGACGAAAAAAAAGAAAAAAAAAGTGGAAAGGGTGAATATGTAAGTGAATATAAAATATTCTTTCTTATTTTTCAGGTTTAAAGTAAAAATAACAATGCCTTGTGGGGCCTATAACAAATGTAGAAGTAAAATATATGTCAACAATACCATAAAGGCCAGGAGAGGGAAAAGGAAATAAAATGTTGTAAGATTCTTATACTCTAAATGGCACAATATCACTTAAAGGTAGACTGAGATACTGTAAAATTGTAAACTATAAGCATTAACGCAGTCACTAAAAAATGAGAGAGTAAACCATAATATATATGGTAATAAGCCAACAAAAGATGTAGAATGGAACCATAAAAAATTCTCACTTAATGAAAATGAAGGGGGAAGAGGTAAAATAGAACAAAGAAGAGAGGAAACAAAGCAAAAACAAATTGCAAGGCAGTAGATTAAAACTAAATCATTTCGGGGGTGCCTGGGTGGCTTAGTCGGTTAAGCGTCCGACTTTCGCTTAGGTCATGATCTTGCAGTTCGTGGGTTCGAGCCCCGCGTCGGGCTCTGTGCTGACTCAGAGCCTGGAGCCTGTTTCAGTCTGTGACTCCCTCTCTCTCTGACCCTCCTCTGCTCACGCTGTGTCTCTCTCTCTCTCCTAGAAATAAATAAAACGTTAAAAAAAAAGAAATCATTTCTCTAATCACATTAAATGCAAATGCTTTAAATTTCTCAATCAAATAGCAGAGACTGCCAAGTTGAATAAAAAATCAAGACCCAAGTATATGCTGCCTATAAGAAATACACTTGAAATACAATAGA